TTGATCAACTATGATCCTGTAGGTCCAAGTAGTTTAGATCGTTTTGTATGCTAGACGAGGTAAAATACAGTAATTATGATCTCCTCTTGAAGTCTGCGGGGTGATGAACATGTAGTTTGACGTTTTCGATCATTTTGACTTTCCGTTTTACTTATCAGACGGGTTTCGGCTTCTCTCCATATCCAGTCAATCGCAGGTCAAGCACTGAAGATGGCAAGAAGCCGAAACGCGTCTTATTTGCCAAAACCAAATATCAAAATGATTGAAAAGATCCGAACTACTGGATTCATGTGCCTTGGTCGATTCGTCTAACCTCACTGTTTTCATACTTTCGACATTTCCAATCAGAGAAAATAGACAGACAATCATCGGTTAAAATCAAACTCCAGCCGCAGTTCCAATTTCCAGAAAACTCACTTTATTCACCGATAAAATTGTCCTTCCTTATTACAAGGTTCGTCTAAACAAACTACAAATTAGTTTGCCTTTTAAACGACCTTTCCGTTGATATTCCAAACATTACCAGCGTGAAACCGGACTCTTCTCTCGGCAGTAATGGATGATGGTGCTATATTTTGATGGATGGGGTGTAGGCTTAAAACGCGACCCCTTATAATTGTTTACTCTCGTCTTCTGCACTACGGAACCTTCAGAAAACACGTCTGACCTAATCGGGTCACGTTTAACTGGGTCGGCGGAATAGGTTTTCGACAAATAAACTAGGTAAAAAATGAACCATACTTGTTGGAAAAATAAAAGGGCACTTTGAGAAGGTTGTGAGAAAAACCGTCTATTAGAAGCGCATCAAAATCTAATCAAAACTCTTAAACTTAACAAGGAAAACCTTTACTGAACACATCGATAATAAGCAAATTGTTCAAAAATCCTTAAACCACATACTTCCTATCTGTATTCCACCCGAACCGATTGAACATGTGAAAATAAATGAGTAAAAACACTCAAAATAATAATGTAACTTTTCGTTTTTTTTACCATATTAATAAAGATAAAAACAATATGTCTGGTAGGTAAATATTATTTAAATAATAAAATACCTGAAGTTGAAGTTACATTATCTTGGAAAATCAAAACACATTAATATAAAATATTAAAATTATTATTATCTTTAAATAATCGTAATATATGAGCTTTACAAGGATATTTTTTTACATTAACATAATATTTTTAAAAATATAGATTGTTTAGATTAGAGATTACTTTAACAGAACCTTGGAATAGTTGCGTTAAATGAGATGAAATCGTTTTACCCCTTACTTAATCCACTCTAACTTTATCGGTTTTCTAAAAAGTGATCACTGTGACAATATTTATCAGTTCCTTAGATTTTTTGTTAAATTAACTTTTTTGTCAATATGTAAGAACCCAGGTTATCAAAGCTTTAGCTACTTGCCTCTATTCCTACCTTCCCATTAGCTCGCCCTATACCCGCTTTCCTAATTTATATCTTGTAAACTTTTTCTCCCCCGTATTTTTTCCCTCCCCATACGGCTTATTATCTATCTTTTGACCGATGCCTAATGATCCCGAGGAGGGAAAAAAAGGGAGAGTGGAAAAAAATAAGTTACCGTTAGAAAATCAGAGATGAAAAACGCAGGTGCTTTCTGAATCTTTCACGACAAAATAATATTTAACTTCTTAATTTTTTATAATATCTTTATGAAAAAATAATTACATTATGTCCGTTTTCTATACATTATGAGTGTTAATTCAATCACCCAAAATGTTGCTTTCCCATCAGAGGTTATGAGAACACAAGGCACCAAAGAGTTCATCTGTTGTACCTTTCTATTGCTTGAAACATTTTCAGAAGCGAGCCAGCACGCAACAACAAAACGTTACTCTAGCTGAAGAAAATAGTTCAAATCCAGTGTCCCTTTGCATTTTCAATATATAACGAACACAAAGGGTCCAAACATCAACTTATACAGAATTTTTATTAGAAATCAGAAGTGGTATTGGGACTTTTTTCTTGGATGGTGAAGGATTTGGCCAAAAGTCAACATTATTTTAGACGTGAGATAGTTCATTTCTGTTTCGCCAGACATGAAACTGAACCCGATGACCTGGTAGACCAGCAGATTTTAAGATTTGACAGAATTCAAAAAAAGGAAGTGTGTTGGCCAAAAGTACAAACACCAAAAGAAAAATTGAGGCGTAAACACACAATGTGGGGCTATGCAGAAAAATCAAATTTTATATTTCTTACTTTAATCCTTACCATCTTTTGGTCGCCTACCTTTCTGTGGATTGGTATGTGAGACGCTTTTCTGCATTTCGTCGTCTTCAGCATGTCTGAAGCATTGACAAAGCACTTTATAAGCAATTAGGCGGACATACTGTACCGTGATGTCCTATTGTATATTTTGGACGATCATTTTGACATTCTGTTTTGTTTGGTATGTCGCGCTTCGGCTTCTCGCCATCTACAGACATTCACAAGTCAACCCACCGAGGATAGGCAGACCAACAAGACCCGTAAGGAACAAATAACACTCATTATATTTTACATGTTATTGTTTTTTAAAAAATGTTTGAAGAGTTGTAGGTTATTTTGTTTTTGTATTTTTTTAAATCTTTGTATAACCTTTTTTTAAAGTAGTTAATTTTAGTAGTGTGCTAATGTTGTATATTGAAATTCTACGTACAAAAGTGCTATGTACTTAGCTTCTCTTTAGGGACACTATGAACACATAGTTTTTTTTTTTTTTATTAATTACCCATGTTTAAATTGACTGATTTGTATTAGGGTTAGGTAAAATTTTTTATTATTTTCACAACACTGCCCGGTTAATTATAATTTGTACATTAATCAAGACAAAACGCTATTGATTTCATTGCGGTTTATTGATAAATAAGTCCCTTACACCCTGTTAAGATGCACTTATGTTTCTGTATAGCACGAATCATATAGACAGGAGCAACCTTTGCTGCTTGAAACGGAACCGACCTTATCGATTCGGTCTCTAGCTCCCGGGACAATTACCGACGGAATTCATTAAATTTACCTACAATTACTACATTCAATTTAATTTAAAGCAATTTCCACGAACTGCATACAGTATTAGGGAGATATGCATTTACTTTGTCAACAAAATGCACAACACACAATTTACATTCTAATATATCAACCAATTGATGGATTTTTAAATTTCATTATAACAGGACTGAGGGGAATAATTGAAGAATCCCCAAAGAAAAACCACCCAGGCGACAGTTCAGGTCCATTCCACGGGACCCCCAGGGTTTTAAGAAAATCCTTTTTGTAGACAATTTGAATCCAACATGGAAAAATTTAAGGAAAACAAAACAATAATTAATATTTCTAGATATAGAACAGGGATGTAGACCAATGAACAAAACGTTTATATGTTTTCTTCTTTTCTTTTTATTTTCTGTATGTGGCGAGGATAATGACGAACTCAACAACCTTTTTCCTTTCTATTCTTTTTAATTGTCCGCTATGTGTCGATGTTGCGTATAAATAGAAAGAATAGAAAGGAAAAAAGTTGTTGAGTTCATCATTATCCTCGCCACTTCCAGAAAATAAAAACTTTTATAAGTTTGCCAAGCTTTCGGCGGTTTTAGCCCTCTTTACGATTCCTACACTCTGAAACTTGTTACTGTTTTTGGTTGATAAAGAGGTTATTTAAAAATTGTTAAAGTCTTAACTGGTTTTTATAAACAATTGGCTTATTACTTTAATATAATTTATTATAATTATTATATATAGTGTGTGTTTCTGTTGTTTCATAATTTGTTGAAGTCGTGAGGAGCGGTCAAGAATGAAGTAGTTTAGAAAAAACACCTTTTTCATTTTTTTGCCGACGTTTTTCCCATTTTTCATTGGGACATTTTTTCCAATCAACATATGTTTTGTAATTTACCGAAGATGACTCGCATAAAGTTTGAAACGTCGGCAAAAAAATGAAAAAGGTGTTTTTCTAAACTACTTCATTCTTGACCGCTCCTCACGACTTCAACAAGTTATATATAGTTTTCACAACTAACTACGATATCTCAGAAATTTCTGAACAATCTCGTCCAAAAAAATCCCAATGTTCGTCGCGAGGGAGCACATTACACCCTCTATAATTTTCAAAACTGCTAAATAGTAAGGTTTGTTTCAGTTGTTCAGTGTTGACGTTGGGTGCGTCTTTTAAATATTTATTATGTAGAGTTTGAGAAAAGTGGGTGAGACATTTTCTTTCACCATGTATGCATATAATGTAATTTGCCTTAACAGACAAAGTGTGATATTGTATAGCACATCAACGACAAATTAACAATATAACATCTTGATGTTGGCACTGATACAGCTGTAAGTTTGATCAAAATAAATTATAATTTATTAGTTTCAGATAGCCAACTATAACTAAGTGTAATAAACTACAGTCGTTTAAACTAGACATAAGTCGATATTGTTGTTTTTTAAAATGGTAACTCATAGGTAATGTAATAAGAAAAAATAGAAGTTGTGAACACGCATCGATCTAACTTGTTGGCTATAAAATAATTGTTTAAACATTTGTTTGGAAAATTTCGTTATCTTAATGTGAAAATATGATATTCCGTCCCGTCAACATGTTATTATAACTCTCTAATTGTCAGAGGGAAATAAGAGACTAAAAGTGGCGACTTAACAGAAAAAAGTAGGAACTATTGCTCCCACCAAAGATATACAAGAAAAATGGTAATTAGACAATAAAATAACAAAACCACCTAGCGAGGAACTTGGGGTCAAAACAGTCCTAGATGCTGCTGTGAGGACGTTATCGTGGAGGTCAATAAGTCAGGGCCTCACTCCACCCCTTACTGCAACCCTCGCTCCCGTAATGGTTAATCGGCCTTGTAGTGATTTTTCGAGTATTCCGGGTGAATTTGACAATTCAACAGTGGTAAAACGACATCGAAAATATTTGCCAATGTGGGTTTCCAGTCCCCACCCCTTTGACGACCTTGTTTGTTTACCCTGTGGCTTGTAGGAGGGGGCGCAGATGCTATATAAGCCAGGGCTCACCACTATCCAGCATTCAGTGTCCAGTGTGAGGACGAGAAAGCAGGAACTTAACTTTGTCGACTTGAACCGCACTACGACAAAACTTTACATCAGGTGAGAAGTCCAGCCTTTCGACACGAGTTTCCAGTTCGATTCCATGTTTTCGTCAGAATTTTCCATTGTATTACTTTTACCCACCCCCTGACTTCCTAAAGGCCCACATTTGTTATTCGTTCCTTGTTGCAACATTCGCGGGGAGTGTATCGCGTTACATCACAGCTAAGTGCACATGATTGCATTGGATCGAATTTCGTAATGCGCATCTAATGATATCGACTTTACCTACATTTTTATATACCAAACCCCCAGAGATATAATCTACCGCAACCTACACCCCCTATTGTCCTTTATTTTAACTTCTTTCTGCACCAAAAACAACCCTAAGCCATCATTTAAAATAAAAATTTGTACATAAAGATACATATTATGTATTCAAAAGTATGACAGTAGCCTCAATCATAAATCTACGGTATTTTGCAATTTCCAAACACGAAATTTTTTATATTAATGTTTAATATATCTTTTTCCAATACAATTAAAGATTCAGTAAACATTTTTCATCATTGTCATGGGTGTCCGATTCCCCCCCCCTTCTGCAGTTGTGCTTGGCAGTATGTGTGCTTTCTTCTGCAGATTACTCGCGCAGGACACCAACAACAAATTTCTGACGCTGGCCTTTTTGTGTCAAGTATAGTTAAAATTTAATTAATTAAAATATCAAAGTAACGCTGCACTGTTTTTTTAATGTGTTTATTATATTGTTAAATGGCTTTTATTTATAATTTGTCATGCTCAATCATCGTCATTGGCTCCCATAATTACATTTCATTTTTTTTACCAACATTACTATTCCACTGCAATGTAACTTTGCGAATTCTCTATTAATATAAAGATTTTTGACGGAGTTAAACCGTTTAAAATAAATAAAACTTCCGATTATTTATCCCCTAACAATTATTATCATTATTATTATTTTGAAACTATTTGAATTTAACTAATTTTAAACATAAAACAATATTATTAATATTATTAAAAAATATAAAAGTTATAAATAAAAAATCAATACATAACATGATTTTTAGTGATGAATATAGTAGATTTTGATATTTATGTAAATTTCTTTCATAATTCCCTTTTATGTAAATGAAATTTGTAAGTCGTAAAACAGCTCAACGAAAATTAGACCACTCCTCTGATCTCTCTTGTTCCCAACAGTGTAGAGAGCTTATAATTATGAACAAGTTCCAAGCACATTAATTAACTGCTGACAGAAAAGTGGCAGAAGGAGAGAGATAGAGAGAGAGTTCTATTACTATTTAAAGTTTTGAATTTTTTGAAAGCAAATTTCTGTAACACTAATTTTTGTTTCAGAATGAAAGTATTCGTATGTTTAGCTGCATTAGTGGCAGTGGCTCTTGCGATGCCAGTGGATGTGCCAGAAAAAAACAAAGATGTGAAGGAACAAGTTCCACTTGTCATCACTGACTACTCTTCAGTTGTAAAGGACGAGCAGAAGAAAGTGGAAGAGCCTGTAAAAGCAGTTGAGGTTGAAAAACCTGTTGTATTGCCAGCAAAGGAAGAGGTTAAGAAAGATGAAGTGACTGAGCAAGTAAATAAGGCCGAAGAAAAACCAGAAGTGGTGAAACCTGTAGAAGAACCGAAACCTGTGACCCAACAGCAGGACGTTAAGGCCGAAGTCCCAAAGAGTGATCCAAAGCCTGAAGTGAAAGAAGAAGTCAAGAAGGATGAACCTAAAGAAGAGAACAAGGAAGTCGTTAAGGAAGCATCAAGCAATGTATCAGAGAAGAAAACAGAAGCACCTGTTCCTGTTGTTGCAGCTCAAGAGACAGAGGTTAAAACTGATGACAAAGTCGTCGACAGTGTAAAAGCTGAAGTTACTCCAGAAGAGCCTAAACCAACTGAAGTCAAACACGAAGAACCCAAAAAAGTTGAAGAGAAAGTGGAAGAACCCCAGAAGGAAGAACAAAAAGAAGATAAAAAAGAGGAGCCTGCCAAAGAACAAGTTTCAGTACCAGAAAAAAAAGAAGAAGTAGTCAACAAAGAAACTGTTAAATCGGACCAAGTTGTTAAAGATGATGTTCCACACGTCACCCCTGTTGAAGAAAAGAAAGAAGTGAAAGAAGAACAAAAAGAAGAGGTTAAAGAGAAAGAAGAGAAAGTCACTCCTGCTCAACCTGAAAAAACAGAAGAAGTCAAGAAAGAAGAAAGCAAGGTCGAAGAAAAGAAAGAAGTATTGACAAATGAAATGAAAGATGAAGGCAAAGAGGAAAAGAAGGTAGAAAAGCCAGTAGCAGACAAAGTAGTCGATGACAAGAGGAACAGGCGAGAAGCAGCAAAGGACAAAACCGAAGAAAAGAAACCCACTGAAGTGAAAAAAGAAGACCTCAAGAAGGAAGAGAAGAAACCAAAGACGGACGGTGATAAGAATCACAAGGAACATTCTGAGGAACCAGTCAAATCGGAAAAACAATAAAGGAATCGGGTTTTTTAATTATTTTAAAAGTTCTTTTAGTATCCTCCCTGCCCTATTGGAGATCACATGAACTCTTCTAGTGAGGGAGGGACTGAGTGCTCTCGGGCACAAACACAGACTGAGTGGCGGGATCAAGGACATTTCTTATTCCACCCAACTTAGTGATCAATGAAAACTTTAAAGTGTGAATTGTATTTAATTCTTACTTATTAAATAAATTGTTCTGATTTTTTTTATAAGAATAACTGAGTACTGTTTCCTTCTCCTATAAAAATAGATACAAATTTGTAAATCATATAATTAAAATCAATTAAATTATAAGAGTCTAAGAAATCAATTTCAATATATAGTATTTTTCCATATGAATCAAAGGTAGCATCTAAACATACAAATAGAAATACAAATAAATATCAGAGTTGTTGTTAAAAATTGGCCAAAAACAATATAAACATAAATAGTCAAAGCAATTTGTCATATTTAATCACAAGAGTATATTATTTAAAATTAAAAAATTAAGATACAGGAAAAATTTGGACAAACAAATTCCAATTCTAACTACTATTGATAATTTGATTTAATTCAAAAGTGCTGAGATAATGAAATGGTTAATCTACACATGGAATTTGTACAATTGAAAATAAAGAAGTACAGGAAAAAGCTTGTCTGACGTCGAATATCTTAAAAATTAAAAGCAAAACTAAAAACACACATTAACTGCAAGGAAATACGGCAATTTAATACGAAGCGGACGTCTTAAGAGGAAGAATGTGGACATCCTTGAGCGGATGATTCATAGTATTCTAGCAACATAGTCGAGACGAGCTCATTAATAATTCGGAAGGTCAAAATCCTTTATTACTCTGTACATGATGAAGTATGGCAATAAACAACTACCGCCAGACACTAATACTTCAAGACAATTATAACAAATTTAATCATATAGTGTTACATAAGGGTAACTTCGGTTCAAAATCTTATTGTGAAATAAAAAAACAAATGGCAAGGTAACATAATCATGTAAAACTATGCACTTATACTAGAAGAAGTGGAGGAGCAATCCACTGAGATGAATTTAAATGATGATGAATAAACAAAACGTAAAGAGATTTATTTTAATTAAATAAATTTTGTTTACTATTGTAAATAAGTTTCATCCAGAAATTCTTGGGCAATCTCTATTAAAATTATGAATTTCATAAAACAGGTTTATTAATTTTTAAAAAAAATCTTTACCGTAATCTTCAAATATTAAGAAAAAATTTGTTAGAAAATGTGAAATATTAGTTACACATCTTTATACGACAACAAAAGTTTATATTTATCTTCAAAACTTGAAACTTATTCACAATGTTTTAGTTATTTTTTTATTAAAAGTTTAAATTTTATGGCTGAATAGAGTATAATTATATTACTTAAAAATTTAAAAAGCTTTGTGAGACTTAAAAAAAAAAGAAAAGCAGAAAGTGGTAGCGTTAAAGTATTAAGTTAAAAATAGCTGTTTAATCACAAAGAAGCTTGCTGTTGTTTATTGAGACGAGCTTCTGAGTAATTACACAATCTTTGAATTATCTTCTCACTGAGCCACCTTTCCTGAATGACCTTCTGCTAAAGGCTTAATATGAAGGCACAAATTTCTGTGTGAAGATAAGGGAAAAGGCAACCAAAAAAGTCAAGTAAAATAATTGCATGATTATTCTCTCAAATGTAATTTTAAATTTATTGTTTAATTAAATTTAATCTTGAAGTGTATCAATAGAGCATAAAAGTATATATTGATGATCAAGGGTACAATGACTGTTGTGGAGTGAATGACCTTGAAGAATGCTGTCGGATGACCCAAGATGCTGCCCTGGAGGCATTTGCACTCTCTCCGCCAGCCCAATGCACTAACTACCTACTACACTTACACCTTCTTCCCCTTGGAAAAACCATACACTAAAAACTCAGTAGTGGGTAAATTTCTTCATCATGTGACTACAAAATTATTCTATTTTAAAAATAATTATCAAAGTTCAGTTTTACACTGAACCATTTCACACTTACATCTTCACAACTACATACAATAGCCAAAGAAAATTAATTAATTTCTTTTTATATTCCAACTCAACGTGAATAACATTTGGCAACCAAGACAGGAAACAACTATGTCAAGGACTAAGGCGTGTTCAAAGAAAAAGTGTAAATAAAAGAAAAACGGGGACTGAGGACCACGCACAAAGAAAATGAAATCATTTTGTCATGCTGAGGGTCTCTAAAAAGCTATTATCTATCAGAAATTAGAATCCTGTCCTTGTTGTATAAATCCTTTTATTGCTTCATCTGTAAGAGTCGGCTTAACATTATGTCATCATTCCAAGGCCCATTAGCCACTGCGGACCTCACTGATTATACCAACAAGTATTTTAATTGAGAAATTAATATGCATTTATAGTTGACTTCCTTCGTATTACAAGTTCCAGCAAAAGTTTGAATATTGTAAATAATTAAACACATGAAAATATTGATAATGGTATCTCAATTTAAAAACTATATTGAAAAAAGTTCAATATCCCAGTATATATCACTTTACTGAAATTAATAAAACTTTCTCATGTTTGAGGTTTAACTTCAGTATAAAATACAGGATTGAATACATGATATAATACTAAAAAATTTAATGACAAGTTAAATATAATACAACATTTAAATTTCCTAGCACTCATAAATTGTTTTCTATTCATTAGGTCATTCATATTAATTATTATTCATTAGGTCCATTTTTGAAGTTTAAATTGAAGTTGCATGGAAGTAACATCAAAATGTTTTATTTATTAAATTAGTTAAAAATAAAATAGTAAAATAGCCAGATCAGGGTGATCAAGTTGGAAGTTCATCGGTCATAAACCCCATCACAATGTTTCATATTATAGAAACATATAACCAATATAAAAACAAAAATAGAACGTTAATTTATTTCTAATATCGCTAAATTTATTGTTGTGTAAAGAAAAATTATAATGTGCAATGCTAATATGACAAAATAATAATGTTTTTACTCTATCTTTGTCTAAAAAGTACAAAGAAAAGATAATATAATCTGAACTGTTAGAATAAAAACATTTAAAAAAAGGAAATTTCAAAACAATATAAAAAGCCTAAAAAGTACAATCGATGAGAGTGTATGAATAAATAAAACAAGATCCAAAGCACGAGTAAAAAGATTATTTCAATGGCATTTCACATTAAAAAAAGTGCCAGAGGTAAGGTGGTGGGCAAGTTTTTGTGAGCTTCCTTTTTCTACTCGTTTTATTTTATTTTTATTCCACATGACTCATCGTGTCTGGCCTCAGATAGGTTCTGTATGTTAATACATCAATGTCATCCATCCATTGTCTATGATTGTTTACAAAACCAGTCTTACATCATATCAAACTTCATTTTGTATTTTTTAAATTTTTTTATATTTTATAAACCGAGATCAAATATATAAATTAAAGGTTCAAGGTTGTTCTACACATGAACCTTGCTTCTAAAATATGCGACTGTGTATCATAACGGTACAATTATGTTAAATAAGGCATGCATAATGAGAGCTTAATAAATATGCATAGAATATTTTTCGCAATGGACAGAACACCATATATAAGTAATATAAAATAAAGTTAATACAACTCTACAAACCTTTTTCATAAAATCATTCATAAATAATGCCCATAATATTTTTACAGTTCATTTCTATTTTATATTTTTATATGATATATTTTTAATTTTATGTACACACAATTTGAAATTTAAAAAAAAAGTTCAATGTCATGGATGGGATATGAAACATGTTAGGTAGAGCATTTCTAAAGATGGTTGGTTCAAATCCCATTGATACTGACCTTTTTTTAAAATCTCAAATTGGGTGTATATAAAATTACATAAAAAATTATATAAAAATATAAAATTTAAATGAATCATAAACATATCATGGGCATTATTTATGCTTGGTTGATTATTGTATGTTTATATATAACATAATTGTAATATTTTGTGATGATAGTTGTATGATTTATGAAATTGACCTTTTTATCTCAAATTCCACGTATACAAAATTAAGAATATATATTAAATTATTCATAACGTTTAACATTGATTTTATTAGTTAAAAATTGCATGCAAAGATGATAATAGCTAAAATTATTTTCCAAGTTTTTGGTGTTTGAACCAGATTAACCAGGTACAAAAATTTTTACATTTAGTTGAAAGTTTATAAAAGACATCCTCTTTTAGACTTTCAGATTGTTTTTCTGGAAACCTTCACAGTCTTGCAATAAGGGAGCTGTAATTTCCAAGTTTTAAACTACATATTTTAATCATATTTCCTTTCATTCTTAATATTTAAGCAATATGTACTTTGATTCGTATGAAAATAACTGCGGTTGTATTATTAATAGGTAAATGGAAAACTCAAAATCTATTGGCCACTTAAAATAAATAAATATGTGCAAATTGTTATAAATATACTGATGAACGAGTTTTGTATTATTGAGGATAGCATTGGTAACTAACTTAAGTATTCTTCAATGCTCTGTTTTGCGTAAATGGCCACAATGGTTAAGGCATTGACACGACAAAAACACTGACACACAGAGAGTTCATATAACCTTATAGTTGAAATACCATCGTAACAAAAAAACATCTAAAAATATCTGTTCAGTGGTCTGCTGAGAAATTGTCAGCGTTCTGCGAAAGACACATGTGAACATATTGATATATACAGTTGGTTAAAAACTCACTTCCATAATGAAACCTGATACTGACTTGAGACGTAGAATACATACCATACAAGCTGACAATAAAATACTTGGGATTGAAAACATTTAATAAGTTGGGAATCAAAATTATATTACAAAAACTAGACTTACCTCTGATGTCAAAAGATATGTGGCTAATACGCCAAGAGACCACCAGTCAACAGCATGACCATATCCTTCCATACTGAAAACTTCTGGGGCTGCAGAAAAAGCATTAAAAAGATTCATTTTCTAATATTATTCTACAAACTGTGTAGCAATAATTATTCTCACCGATGTACTGTAGTGTCCCACAAATTGTTTTTGTCTTATTGCCATATTTAAGCCATTTCGAAAGTCCAAAGTCGATAAGAACCGCATGGCCATTTGCATCGAGTAATATATTTTCAGGTTTAAGATCTCGATATATTACTCCAGCATTATGTAAAAAATCTATTTAAAACTTATTGTTTAATTTCTAGAGCAGTTTAAAAAAGTAAAAACTTACTCACCAAGTGCTAAGGCTAATTCCGCTATATAAATCTGGCATATATCCTGTGGTAACGACCCATACATATTTGTTAAATTGAGCATATCTCCTCCCTCAACATAAGTGTTAACTATAACACGTAAAATTAAAGAAGTTACATTTTTAATTTTTAATCAAATTAAATAGATTTATTTACCTATAAAGAGCTTTCTTCTATTTTGCCAATATTGAGGTGCGTCGGCAATAAAAGGATGATGGCCACACATTGTCTGAATTTTAACCTCATCCTTTACTTGATTTATGCAGTTTTCATGAATAATCTGATTTTTTTTAAATAAATTCAGCATTTGGAATAAAAATATTTAAACATTCAGAAATTGGAGCACACTTACCTGAGATTTACTTAAAACTTTCATCGCATATATTTCTTCAGTTCCTCTTTTCAATACTTTATAAACTTTTCCATACGCACCTTTTGAAATGAGATAAAGAACCTGCAAATATCAATTATGACAATTTATAGTCTACTTATTGCTAGTTATCTCAATTACCTCATATTTATGTTCGTCAGTAAAGTTTATTTTAAAGTCTGGAAGGAAAAGAGACTCAATGAATGGAACGGGCCAAGCAGTTTTAATGCTTTCAAACGGATCGGTCAAAGTAGATTCTCTCCATCTGCAATTAAAATTTAACTAATTGTAGCTTGAATATATAATATCAATTAACATTTTGACTTACCCTTTTCTTGATACCCTTGACCAAGGTCTTGAAACACTGTAAGTCGATCGTATAGAATTGCTCGTAAATGTGCGCCCACTGAGCTTTTCGACAAAGCTTGATATAGACAACTGAAAATTTATAATTTTTATTGTCATTGCTTAACGAAAGAAATATATTATTTTTAAGGGGCCTAGTTAGTCTACAGAATGAAATATACCTGATGGAAACTCTTTTCAATAAAGAATCTAAATTGATATAAGCACAATTAATAATAGAAAAGTCAAGCCTTGTCACGTCAACAATAAAATAATATACTTTTTCTTCTGTATCCTAAAGATGCAAAGTACATTAGATGTTCATACGAAAAACACAAGAAAAAACAAGAAGTGCTCAACATCAAGTTTTCCAAAATGTATTCGCCTATTGAAAGGCAGCTTCTTCACAGTTACGGCTATTCAACCGCTACCAATCAAGTTCTGGATATTAGCAATGCTAAGAAGTCGGATAATAAGCAATGAACTTGTTCATCAGACTATACAAATAGCACGTACCTAAGAATGCCACCAAAGAGGGGGTACTTCGCCACTTCTTTGGTTGCTAGTAGTAGATCTAATCAAAGATCTTAACAGCATAGAATACAATACCATAGGTTCATATATGTTACAAATTACAGTTTAAGATATTCCTCTCTCAACCAAGAGACTGAAAGCCTGCGTTAAAGCTGAAGCTATCCTCCCAGCTGGCGATTCTAATTTTTTCATTATTCTCCATTATAATCAATCGCTAATTTTAAACATACTTTTTATTAAAGATCTCTTATGTGTTTTTTGCTAACAATTATATATATGTATAATGTAAACAACGTACACAGTAACAAAAAATGAACTTACATCTCGAAATTTGAGCTTGTTACTCGTTTCTGGAACTGTATTTTCGTTTATTATCGAGTTGGCGTTTCCCATTCAGTTATAAATCACATTACATGGTGATGAAGTTAACAAATAAAATTTTTGTAGGCTTAAAAAGTGTAGATTAAACGCAGGTCTAGTGTTAAAACTGACAGAATCTTTATTAGTGTTTAACAGAATCCCATTTTTAGAACGTTTCATCAGCAATAACACATTTGTTTGGGTTAAAACACAGACTAGAGTTTATTATAGAGAAATGTCAAAATTCAAATAAGATCATCACACAACCTTCAATGGGTTTACTAGCAGGGAGTACAGACTACAGTGACTACAGTCATACAGGTGGCCACTGTGACTGGCCTTGTGCTATATAATTATAAAATGCTTCCAAGTCTTGGGAAACATTAAAATAAAAGTATTAATAATAATATATTTATTTATTTTACATAATAAATCCAATTTACAAAAAATATAGAAAATATAACAATATATAGAATGAAAGCAAAGGAATGAAAAGTTAAACAATATTAAAAATATTTTTAAAAAAATTAAACAGACTTAAAAATATTAAACAATATTGTATATAAAGAAGGAAAATAAAAGCACAAAAAATTATTCTATGAATATACATAAAAAGATCACATTTATCATTGTATATAAACAGTAAAAACAATTAGTTACATTATTTTAAGATATTTAAGTATATAAATAATATTAGAAAATAATTACATTCAAAAAACCTATTGATTAAGTAAGTAACATTAATAAGCTATTTATTTTTATGATGTAATATGTATACGCATATAAAAAAATTAAAAGTAATGAAATAATAAAATTATTGATTGCTGGAACAAAAGTTAATAATTAACAGAGTGAAGTTGCTTAACAAAAATATTAAATGATACAAAAATTCAGTCAGGCCATGTTCATTATTTTATCAAAAGGAATATTTTGGTCATATTTAGTTTAAAGTTACCCAATTAAACTTCTTTTCAGAATCAGAACAATTATATACACATATATATTTATTTTTTTAAATATTATAAATCATGCTCCATTACATTTGGCATTACATGAATTGACCATAATAAAAATAAGATAATTACAAATTATAAAACATATTTACAATTTAAAAAAAATAATAATACAGACTTTTCTTTTACAGAAATTATAAAGGTGTGGGAACAACAGCATTATGTTGTTCGACTTCTTTAAAAGACGTTCATGCATTTCCAAAAAGAAAACGAGACTGATGAGGGGAGGCTGATGCCCCTGAAATCGATATCATTACAAAGCCATTGATGGTTGTCTAATTCCTGAAAAGAAACCCAAGAAATATATTAAGTCAACAACCGAAAAAGAAGAGTAAAAAGTATTTAAAAGACAATTCCTCCTCAGAGTTTGTTGTTTTTAATGATCCGGATTTCAAGCCTTAAATGCTCATCATCAGGTTGAAGTATTGTAGTAGTACAGTACAAACTCATCTCTCAATATGAATGATGTTGTACTCTTACAATTCTTGTCAAGAGATGTGTTTGTAACAAGTTTAATTTTTTTCTTTTCTGTTTAATATTAGAATAACTCATAATAATAATAATTTAAATTATGGAACAAAAATTCAAAATTCTAATTAAGAAAAAAAAACAGGAATAAATTTTATATGTAATTTAAAATGGGATTTTTGCATACCTTTCCAAATTAAGAATTTTAAAAGGATAAATTAAAGCTTTGGATGGCAATAGAATAAATTAGTTTATGAGTGAATGTTTGGAGTCAGAGCTTTATAGCACTCAGAAGGGATATAGCTAACCTAAGATAGAAGGTTTGGATGTTAGGGTGTGAAATGACCTTAGCCGTTAAAACGCCCTTAAAAATTAATAATAATAATAATAATAACAATAATATTCAGTATTAATTGTACACGAATGCTATTATTCCTAACACCAACTTCATGGCAGCATTTCGGTTTTCAAAAAGCATGATTTTGTTGAGTTGGCAATTTTTTTATGTTTGTTTTGTGTGTATGAGGGTGTGTATGTTAATTTTCCCCATTACAGAAACCCTGTAATGACATTTTCCTCAGCAATTGGCATCTTCTGTCTTTGTGTAATGGGCATTGAAATACAAGGTGTCTCCAAGATGAGTGCATTCCATGTTACACGTGCAATTATCATCTTCTGCTAGGTTAAAACGATACAAATATTCTTTGTACTTACCATGATTAGTTAGCACCATCATAGTCTTGTAAGAAGCCAGTATTTCTATTTTTCTCCTGTCCTAACTTTAGAGGAAAATGTTTTTTGTGCTCCCCAGATTGGCTAGATGACCACAATACTAAACTCCTCTGCTGCACTTGTGCCAGAATTAATAACTTGGGTATACTGCCAAATTCAATGGTTAAGTGTTTTGCCCAAGAATTTGCCATTTTATTTCCTAATATGTGTGTATACGCCTTGACCCAATGGATTCTTACTGTCCATCCACACATATTTTGAAGAACGTCTATTCCTTCATTTATGATTTGATAAAATATATATAAAGCATACATAATAATTCAAGATTTAACTAATCTGCAAACTTGATTGTAGAACGTTGTAAGAGAAAAATTAAAATTATGATGAGGAAAGTTATTGGCAGAATGCATAATTCTGTAACAGAAGTTTAGTAGTTTACTGAAATTTGTAGAATGATAGGAAATATTAAAGAGTCAATTCCTGGCTCAAGTAGTTAGGCCAGGTCAAGTAATTTGGTATAGAAAAATTAATTTGACTAAGTCAACATAGAGGTTGATTATTTTGAAAAGAGTAAATAAATCAGAGCAGAGTCAATGTGTCTCTAGGGTAAGTAAACTAAAGTACTGTTCAAATTGCCTATAGTCAATACAAGAATTCTGATAAATTTAAATTTGACAGATCAGTTTATGAATAGATTTAGCAGTGTAGGAATTCCAAACAGGAGAACAGTATTCAAGCATTGATCTTGAAATGATATGTAAAGAATGGACAAAGTATTAGGGTTGACATCAGAAGAATAACAAGATAAAAAAAATCTTCACTCTTATTAAAAGAATAACTGGTCATTTTACTGACTTATTTGCCATAAGAATTTTGTTCCAGTCCTTGCATAGAAGTTGAGTATACACAAATTGTTTGTAGTAACTGTGGTACGGCTGATGCTTCAGTCTTGAGAAAGTTTAGAGGAGGTTTAACAAATATCTAAGTTTCAATCATTGTTGCTTTTCCCCAGTAAGAAGTGGCTTATATTTGGAGGCTTTTTTGGCTTTAAGAGAGCGATGATAAGGCTGTCCTGCTATTGAAGTGGAAAAGACCTTCCTATAAATGTGTGGTAATTAAAGACCATTTGTCGATGATTATTCAGAAATCGTGAGATGCAGTCTGGTGTGATGTAGGTTTCAGAAAAACATTTTCTTTACCGTGCCAACGTTTCGATCTTTATTGAAGATCTGAAGATGATCACAATAAAGATCGAAACGTTGGCACGATAAAGAAAATGTTTTTCTGAAACCTACATCACACCAGACCGCATCTCACGATTTCTGAATAATCATCTTCCTATAAATATTCCATTATCTCCCATAAATAATCCACATATTTAGTGAGTGGACTGTTTTTGAAGGGGTTATTTGGATAATATAATATAAGGGATTTTATCAACATTTTATCTTTTTATGAAAATTATATCAATTTAAAGCCAGTAAATGTCCTCTGTAGAAGAACTAATACAATAGACCTAGAAAGCTTGTCAACTAAACTAAGTCTTTGTTTTATGTGTTCGTGTTGTATTTTACCCATATGATTATTGTTTTCTGGCACCTATTGGATTGTTACTTTTATATTTAATAAAACAAGTTTCCCATAAAACTATATATTGAACTGAATAATTTAAATAAACACTAGGAAGATAGTTATGTATTTTCTGAAACATTACAAGTTAACTTTTTCCATTAAAAAACATCATCCTGTTTCATAAAATATTAAAAGTTATTTAGTACTAGTGTTAAATATATTCCTAGTTTAATGATCTTACAAAATTGATTATTTCAAACTGTATTAAGAGTTGGTAAATGTTTGATCAATAACTGCCCTTAAGGAAATTCCCGTTAATCTAATACACCCGTGAAAGCTTCACGTAAGACATTGGTTGTTGTTACCAACTTTTAAGTAAAAATGGTCTATGATACGACCAAAACTGGCTTAACACCAATTGAAAAAGAAATTGTGATTAAAAGAAAACGCACGAAGTTAATCTCTAAAAAGGTAATCAACATTTTTATCTTTTTTGCTTTTTAAATTAATTATTCGAATAAATAATGAAACTTTAATTAATTTTAAGACAAATTTTCCTAAACTGGATTTTCAAGAATGCATTCAACCAGCCCCGGTGACAGCTAAACCATTTGCTACATTGTGCAATCCATTCCGAAAAGGCTGCTCTATATTCTGCAATCATCCAAATGACAACACAGATCTTAAATTGGCCATAAGAAAATCAAAAATGAAAAAAGTTATTATAAACAAAAATTTCTAAATTTTTTAATTGAAATGACTTGTTTTATCGATTCTTGATGTACAGGAAGAGGAATTAGATGATTTTGGAGTTGACAAGAAAGCTTTAGCCGATAGGGTTGGAGAAGTTTTAGAAGAATTGCTCACTCGATATCGACAGACTCCTACTCCTGGATCAACACCCGATGAAGAAAGACCTCTTCCTGCTAGAACAGTTTTGGTCTTGGATCTTAGAAGGACAACCTCTCAAGAAACCTTAAGCACTACAGCTGTAAAAAATTTAAACAAATATGTTCTTTTACCATTTAATTTCAACAATATTAAATATGTTTCTAGGGTGGTCCAGGTAATTCAGGAGGTTTGCAATCATCAAATATGTCACCTTCACAAAGCTCATTATCAATGCCAGTTCGACCGATTGCTAAATCTCCTCAGTCTCCTGTAAATGAAAATGTAGCTATGTTGCCTGAGGTGAATCATTAAAACTTATTTTACCTGGTTGTCTATTATTTCTTTTAATAATTGTGCATTAATTTAAATAATAAAAACCTTAGCCTGAACAAGAGCTGACAAATGAGCCTACCGAAGATGAAAATGAGGTTCAGAAAAGAAGAGGCAAAGTAAAGAAAAAGAAGAAAAAAAATGTAACGAACCACATGGACGAGAAAAGTGGCAAGGAAGTCATTGGCCTGATTGAACCAGGGGAAACACAGGCAATAAACCAAAATAAAATTAAAAAAATATTTACCATAATTTATTTTAGATTTCAGCTTTTATTGAATCTGGTGATAATCTAAGTTGGCAAGATTCAACAACTGCGACACCACAGCCAACTACAGAACTATTACACACTGGCTTTGGTATATTTAATCTACTATCAGATATTTTTGATCATCGCACTTTGAGACATCTTAGAAGAACTCTTACTGCAGAACAAGCCGAGGGAGAATTTAGAAGAGTCGTATGATCATTTATTACATCGCACCTGTTTCAATTTGCATAAAATGTTATAATTGTGATTTCAGTGGAGGAAAGTATTAAAAGAAGCACTTGCAGCAAGCGATTCATTACCGGAAAATGACATGAGGCCTGAAGTCCGAGAGGAAACTAAAGTTCCACCCTGTCAGCCGGAGAAGTGGCTGTCATACCCAAGGAAATTTAAATATTCATCTGCACGATTTGACATACCCATAGATAAAAGTGTATTAAATAGTGAGTAAAATATATTATTTATTAGTGATTGCTTACTCAACAATATACAATTTTTTTTTTTTTAATAAGCCCAAATCTGCACATATATACAAAGTTGAACCTATCACTTCTTGCAGCTCACCAGCAATTCAAGCTTTTGTGCAATTTACAATAAATTACCGGTGGGCCTCGAGAATCACTCCCGCCCATTCCAGCACCCAATGTAAAGTCTCTAAAACCCACTCACACTCTCAATACATTCTATTCTATCTACATGCCTTCACTCAGAGGGTGGTAGAATACTGATATTCCTCACCTTCTACAAATATAACTGATGGATTACTCGATATTCTGCCAATGGCCCTCTCACATTACACATTCATGCTAATAAATATATTCACTCTAGACACGCTAGGGACACAAATCTATCAGTTCGATATACAGTAAAACAATCCTGCTTCCTTTAAAAATCAGAACAGGAAACCCAAATGCTTGTTGCCGAGCTCAAGCACAATTCTCATATCACATCCTACAAATTCTCTATACAGAGCCAAGAAGTGGATTGAACTTCAATGATGAAACATCAGATTAACAGAGAAATGATTAGTTTGCAACAAAACTAAAATGGTGGCAATGATATGTTTTTATATATTTCAACTGTAAGTCAACAATTTAATATTTTCTTTGGTGATTGATCAGACTTCTCAGTTTAAATATTTTTCTTTCCAAAGATAGATTGGGAATGAGGCCAGGAAGACAGAAACAAGATTTATTTTCTTGTCAAGCTTTCGGCAGAATATAGAAAAAGAATTTAAACTGGAAAGAAAAATATGTAAACTGAGAAGGCTGATCAATCACCAAAGAAAATATTAATCAACAGAGGAGTGCTTCATCGATGTTATATAGTCCTGATGAAGGCGATATATTCTGCCGAAAGCTCGACAAGAAAATAAATGTTGTTTCTGTCTTCCTGGCCTCATCGCCAATCTACCTTTTGGAAAGAAAAATATTTAAACTGAGAAGGCTGATCAATCACCAAAGAAAATATTAATCAACAGCGGGGTGCTTCATCGATGTTATATAGTCTTGATGAAGGCGATATATTCTGCCAAAAGCTCGACAAGAAAATAAATGTTGTTTGTCTTTCTGACCTCATCCCCAATCTACATTTTGGAAAGAAAAATATTTCAACAATTTAACTTAATTAGACAGATACTTAAAGCAAAACCTTTACACAAAGATAAAAATAAAGTGGGTGAATTTATAAATACAATGCCAAAAGCACAATTTTATTACACATTATCAACATTTTTGTCTTGAAAAAAATGAATTAATTAACAAATTAAGTGTTAAAAATATTTTGAAGCCATTTCTTCCTTGGACTACCTGAAGGATTATGTTGCTGCGACACAAGAAAACAGGCTTTTGTACAATCACGTGTTTGAGAAGTACAAAACACCAAATGAAGACAAAAGTCTACACATGGAAGGAAAGGTCGGACAACATTTTTTTCAAATTACATCAAATTTTATAACAATATTTTTTCAATGTGTTCAGGTATTGGTAGAAGCATTGGGGATTATGATGGGAAGAGAATTCACTGAAAAAGAAGTCTCAAGATTGAAAGAGTTGGTTGACTGGGACGAAGAAACAACAGTGGACTTGAGAACATGGATTGGACTTTGTTGTCTTTGTGAAAGAGTGTTTGGTACATTTATCTCTTTTTCAACCAAATATAGACTATTTTACAAAGTTTTTATCGAACTTCCAGGTTTAGAGTTCAGCTCAGGGGATTATCCGAATCTTGGGCAGAGAACAGTACTGGAACAAGTGGATTTTGATTTACTCAATGAGGAACTCCCAAAATTGAACCCCCATCCAAAACTCCTTGCACTACTCAATGCTGTGCAGTATTTACCAGGTAGATATTTTTTTTCTAATATTAAAAATTAAAATTTTATTCTATTAATGGAAATAAAAAAAATTGTAGATCCACCAGTAAGGAAAGAATGTGAAACACCAGAAGATCCAACTCCTGAAGGAAGTATAATTGAAACTCGGTAGTCATGAATTTAATTACTTTTTAATAAATAATGTTAATCCATATTTTTAATCATTTCAATTTATATTATATTTGAGTATTGTATAAGAATTTTTATCTGTTTTATAACAAACATGTTGGTTTAAGATTAAAAAAAAAAAAAATAAATAAAAACATATTTTTGCAATAATACTAATTTATTCGAAAAACCTTTAAAACGATTACATATTTAAACATAAAAAATAATAAATTAACAATATATTTATTTATTTACATATCACAATAACATTAGGGTCTTTTTCTATAAGTGTTTCCAATTGAAACGTAGACATGCCAAGGTTGCAACAGATTTCATCTAAAGATAAAAGGCCTGTGAAATGCTGATAAAGAGAGCTTGCTTCTCCATTAGCGCCTTCCATTACAACAATTGGATACTGAAATATTTACAAAATATTAACAAATGATGTAAGAAACCGAATAGACAAATCTCACTTTATGTATTCTTCTTATAAGACCCTCGACAAGGCCGAACTGAACCAGTTTCCTTTCATCGATTCGCAATGATGAAGGATTGTACCTGATGCAGAGGTCTTTTACAGTCGTACCATGAGTCATACTGCAATACAGTTTAAAAACGTCACGAAAATGTGGCAACTGCCAACCTGAAAAAAATATTTTCTTTAGGCATGGTTATGGAAAAAAATATCTTTCTGGGAATGTGGTTTAAAAATTTCAATTTGAAACCTGTTCGAGCCACTGTTCTTAGGCAATCTTCTTGAAGTTTTTTGTCAACTACAAGCCTTCTCAACTTTGGGGTGACCGCATACGAGTTTGAATATTGAAATATCGGAACAAGACTTACAACTAAATAATAACTACAACAAATACCTTATGTAAATAATAACATAAAATACAAAACTTTTTTAAATTTTAAATACTTACACTAAATTCTGAAGACAAGTCTTCACCAAATTGTTTTCAACATCAGCTTGAGCAGCTATTTTAGAAACGTGATTTATACCATCAATTAATGGAAGCACCTGAAAATAGTACAAGTAATTACCAAGATAATGTAGAACTATGATTTGATTGCTGTTAAGTAAAGTCCACTTCATAAAAAAATACAATAATATAATAACTAAACATTTAAAATGGTATTATAAACGTCTCCTTATTGAGTATGAGTTTAATGATAATTAAATGGTACTTATAAAAAAATACCTGCTGAGTGGTCAAGTCCCATTGTTCACACTGAAAAGCTTCTAAGCTTTCTATAAAAACAGGCACCTGGTGATCTAATACAGGAGGAGGATCAGGTCTTATTTTTATGACTTTTAAATTTGTTGTAGAATTTCCTTCTGTGGAATGTTAATTTTATAAATCATTGCCATTGTATGCGTGAAAGTTTTCATATTACCTGTAACTGTGCACATTCCATATGAATTGAGATCACGCATCACCTGTTCTAGCATCAAAACGAGCTTCGAAGTGTTTGAACCTGTCTCGCCATCCCTTTGGTACAAGAAACTGCTTTCAACTTCCAGTGCTGTCTAAAAAGATTTTTTTTTGTTGTTGTTATCGCTCATGCTTCCATATGGTATTTTACAAGACTTACGAGAAAATCCGAAAGTTTTTTCACCACAGACTCATACTGCACCGTTCTCGCCCATGAATCACAGACGAAGCATATATTAAAATAAAAGGCATTTCGCGGATACTTTTTATTATCAATGCGTACAGGGAAGCCTAGTATTTTAATACCAGAAGTAGTACTGAAAAATTATAATAGACAATAAACAGAAAATAAAAGATAAAATCATTGTTAGGCTACGAAAAAATGGTAATATTTAATATTTGAAAAATTAAATGAGATAAGCTTTAATATAATTTATATTGAATTACTTAATTGGAACAACTCTTTATAAACAACAGCTATAAGGAATTTATTATACTATTCTGGCATTAAAGCCATTCAAATTGGTTATAAATATATAACGATATAAAATAATAAACTTTGTGACTTCTAGTCCAAGGATGGGCCAGAATAGCAGCTTAGAGGCTCATAAATGGACAACCATCTGCGAGGTTAGGTCATGTTGAAGAATAATGGAAACTGAGGGAGGAGATACAGGCAGATGCCATACTAGGGAGCCAACCGATGCCGCTACTCCCAAATACAACTTCTCCAACAAGTACAAGATATATACATCAGAAAGGGAAGAGTAGGCAGGATTCGGAAACGGATAAAGGCACGGGAACTGAAGTCCTTGCGGGAGAATCTATAGTGAATTGACTTTAAACTTTGGTAGATACTCTACAGTTTTCCAGTCTTAATTCATAGCAATTGAACACTGCACCAGAGAAATAAAAAGACTAGGAACACATTCCAGTAAGGATAACCATTTAATCTGAGAGCCAGGCGGCACTTAAGGCGTTGTCTTCATTTGAGGTATATGTACAAAGCTTATGGAATCCCTGGCAGAAGTCAGTAACACCAATGACTTGTCCTTGGGCATTCGGGATGTTGGCCACAAAGACACCCCAGGAATGAGTCACATGAAGGAGATTTATAGAAAGGCCATTTGCAAAACTTTAAAGGAATTACTAGAAGGTAACTGCAGCGAACAAGGATCTGGTTGGATTCCTGATAATGCACTGGTGCCTAAGAAGGCATATGCACTGAATAGGAGTACGGACTGAAAAGATACTGCCAGGGAGAAGAGGAAACAGCAGAAAACTATGTTTGAAGCCTATTTTTTTTATGAGGGTCTATGTAGTCATAGATTTTTGCAACTAGTAGAGGAAAAGCCGCAAGCAGGATTCTACATTAAGGAGAAGGCAAGGGAATGGAGTATGGCCAAGTCCTGTTGTTCACACTGAAAAGCATCTAAGCTTTCTATTAAAAAAAAAAAGCACCTGGTGATTAAATACAGGAGGAGGATCAGGTTTTATTGTTATTATTATTATTATTTTAAATTGACAGTGACTATGTAGATGTAGAATCTTGTAACTAGGAGAGAAAAAGCTGCAAGCAACATTCTATGCTAAGGAGCCATTGGCAAAGGTATGGAGGGTGGTCAAGTCCCATTGTTCACACTGCAAAGCAACTAAGCTTTCTATTTAAAAAAGGCACTTGGTGATCTAATACAGGAGGAGGATCAGGTCTTATTTTTTTATCTTTAAATTGACAGGGTCTAGGTAGATGTAGATTCTTTTAATTAGGAGAGGAAAAACTGCAAGCAAGATTCTACACTAAGGAGCCCATGCCAAAGTTATGGAGGGTGGTCATTCACATTGTAATCACTGTAAAGCTGGCCGGTGAGGGAGGAAAAAAAAATAAATGGACAGGTTGAAGAAGGCATTGTCGTCACCTCATTTATCCCTTTCCCTATCCTTATGTTTGTAACTGCTCAGAGTGCTGAAGTAAATAAGTAAAATATTAATTCAATCCTTTTGACAAAAAAATATATATCTTGAGATGTTTATATTCCAATCAAAACCAATAGGGTTGATCTTTTAATTAAGTATATATAATTAACATGCAGTTATCTTACATTGTCAAAGTACTACGCAATAGTTGAGTTTTTGGAATGAGATAAACACTAACAGCTTCAAATGTGTCCTTTGATATAAAATCTTCTGGGACCTAAAAAGAGATCCAATTAAAATTAGATCAAAATCAAATGAAGCTAAGGTGTTATCAGACCAAAAAAAGCCTAAATTAAAAGCTAAACAAAAACAGTTATGAAGTTGCACAATACAAAAGAAAAGAACTGGTTTTTTAAATATTTATTTGTTTTTTTTTGTACCAAGAGTATTGTCACACTGTGCTGTTCTTTTTAGCAAAAGAAGTTGCCATATCTGTTGCAGCCTGAGTTGTTTGTATTAGATGTATAATTCGGAGCTCCGTTATTTCCACCACTTACGCAATAGCATGGCATAAATTGATGAAGATTCTGAGTGAGAGGTGGATAATTTACTTCCAATTTTCTTACTCCCCTTACAAACGCTCTATTTGGTTTAGCAACTTCACCGTCCAAAGTCTGTGCTGGAAAATACTTAAATGAATCAGCTTTCTTCTTTGGTGGGCAGTTGCCTATTACTATCCTTGGATAAGGGTACTTGAACGAGCTGTCAACTGTTTCATTGATTTTATCAACAAGATTGCCCAGAACGTCCCTCCTCTTGCAAGCGATTTTTTTCGATTGAGGCTGAGTTCGTGGAATGCATACTCTTGGCATTTTTTTTCTTTTTTACTTTTTTTTTCTTTTTATTTGTCTTGTTGTTGAAAAATTTGGTAACTAACACATGTTTATAAAATTTTGTATTTTAAATCTTGCTAGTATGTGATTTTTTTTGTCTTCATGACACCGTGAAGAATAGTCTCTTTAAACCTACAAACTTTGAACATAAATAATTGAACAATTGAGCAAAAAAGTTAATTTTCCTTGGTCTTTTTGATGGTGAAAAGCTGAAATTCATCTAACAGATCAAAACAGCAGACCAAAATGATTAAAAACTTTTTTTTTACGAGGGTGCACAACAGCAGAGGTCATATCAACCCTCGGGGTGCTGGTGTTTTTGAAAAAAAAGCCCATTTGTAAATATATCGGGTTCAAATGCAGGGCCGCTGGATTCGAACCCGGGACCTTTACCTTACAGTGATGAGCGCCGTGTCAACGCCTAAACCGTTGCGGCCATCGACACCCCCATTAAAAACTATTATTTAGTATTAAACTATTAAGTATTTAACTATTTGCATACTATTAAAACGCTTAATTTATTATATTTAAAAAACCTCATTCAAGTCGAACATAAAAAAACTTATTTTCTGGTGGCCATTGCTGCCTATTCTTGGTGTCCGGATGGTTTTTCCAGAGAGCTTTCTTCCTTACCCAATGATGGGAAAGTTGTCTTACTTAGTGCAGCCCCAAATCCAAGTATTCATCCTGATCCCTTGCTCCAGGACAGCTTCGGCTACACATAAGGACAAAAACCCAACACACCACCAACATCCTTATTCCTCTTTCCTTATATTGTCTCAGGCCTCCTTGATTGTTTGCCTCTGAAGTGCCCCGAATAGAGGGAGTACTCAGCTGCACTCAAAAATCCAGCAAAACTCCAACACTTATTCCCAGTCTGTTTCCTCGAGCCTGCCAGACTTGACTTGTCTGCTATTGTAGCCCGCTTATCGCTCTCCTCTTTGCTCTTTCTCCACTCTGTCGGTGCTCCATGCCTCTGCTTTTTTTTGCTTTTTTTTTAAAATTTATTTTTAATATTTTCTTGTACAAAACCAACCAATGACTAACCTCGGTCCTGACCTGGCTGCCCTCTCTTCCAGTGCAAGTATAGTACTTTCCAATACTGGGGGGGGGGGACTTAAGCAGTTTTACAATGTTGTTTGCAAGTGGTAACTGGCTTAACTATTGTAATGCTTAACAGGTGGAATGCATTATGTAAAGTATATCTAAGTTTGTCTAAACATTGCATGTATCTGATAAAAGAATAAAAGTTATCTTTAGATTCTCTGAGACAAAAAATGTGCTTTAGCATCACTTTCTTACAGTGAAATTCATGGTCCAGAGGGAAACATCCTTTTTTAAAGGGGTTCGATGTGAATTTTTTCGTCTGAAAGTCACAGATGAGACTATGATAATATATCCTGGCACGTATGGTTTATCATTCAGTAAAAGAGGTGATGTTAAAAATAAAACCCCTTTAATCATTCTTCAGCGGATTGAAACTTCGACCTCCATGCTTGCGTTTTTAAAGATATACAAAGGAGTACCTGATCTAAGCTGCAAATACATAATATCATCCCTTTTATAGACTATAGTATGAAAAAAAAAATCTTATTGTTTTTCAACAATTTTTACAACTGTTATATAACAAATTACACCTGCATCATGTGTTACGATGTTATTTGTAAGTTATGATTTTCACTATCATACAGCAATGTTTAATTTGTGGGATGTAAAATAAACGTTTGTAATATGAATCAAGTTTGTCAGATAAATTTATGGTACATACAAGACAACTGATACATTATTTAATTGAAAGTAGATTTTAACTAGCATGCAATAATTAGTATGGTCGAACCTGGCATGTTATTTTCGGCCCTGCTGTTGGGTGAAATTCACAGTAAAAAATACAACGGATGGGACCCTCTTTTCCACATCCTTCGAAAAAGCGATTATTTTTCTCCATAAAACCTAAGGGGAAAAATAACGTCCGATTGTCATTCTCAGTTTCTCACAGGAAACCGGGCTGGTACGCAGCTCTGCACAACTTTACAGACTACTGATAAGATGTTCTAACGATTTACAGAGGAGTTGACAGTTTTGTTTGAGTGCAAGTTGTGTAACAGCTGTAGAAATTTTTCAAAAACCTAAGATTTTTTAAAAATTATTTGATAATTCCACAATAGTCTTTAAAAGGGATGATATTTAATTTATTTGCGGCTTTGATCAGGTACTCCTGTGTTTGTATATCTTTATAAAAACAAACAGGAGGTTGAAGTTTCAATCCTCTGTAAAGTGATAAAGGGTTTTTACTGAATGACTAACTAAACCGTGCTAGGATATATTATCATAGTCTCTTATGTCGTCTGCGACTTTCGGACAGAAAATATTCACACCGACACCCCCTGAAAAAGGAAGTTTCCCTCTGGACCATGAAGGTCGCTGTAAGAAGGTGATGCTGAAGTACATGCTCTGTCTCAGAGAATCTAAAGACATCAACACTAAGTGCAGAAAAGAGGCTAAGGATTATCTGTCTTGCCGTATGGATAATAATCTGATGGCCAAGGAAGAATGGTCAAAGCTTGGTTTCAAAGACGAAGAGAAGTGAAAATGGTAAACTTGTTAGTTTGCTGTACAGGGAGTGTGGCGACGATCAAACTACCCGTCATATTGGAACTGTTCAAATTGCATAGAAATGAATTAGATGTTAACATAAAAGTTTGCCTCACAGAGAAATCGAGACATTTTTCCCCCAATGAACTCGGCGTTCAGTCATTCACCGATTCAGATGAATGGGATTGTTGGAATGGTAGAGGCGATCCTGTACTTCACATCGATTTGACCAAATGGGCTGATGTACTCCTCATTGCCCCTCTCGATGCTAACACTCTCGGGAAAATTGCCAGCGTTAGTAATTTAGTTTGACATTGATAACATTTTGCGGTAACTGATTGTAATTATCATTTCCAGGGGATTTGCGATAACATGGTCACATGTGTGGTGCGCGCTTGGGAGATTTCCAAGCCGTTATTCTTCTGCCCTGCCATGAACACAAAAATGTGGAACCATCCAATAACTGGCACACAGATATCTTTGCTGAAGTCTTGGGGCTACTATGAAATACCGTGCATCTCTAAAACCCTGATGTGTGGCGATGTTGGGCTAGGTGCGATGGCTGAACCGCAGCAAATTGTTGATACAGTGTTGAACTTTATTAGATTAAATAACTGATATAAAATGTAGCATATGTTAAAAATTACAAAAACTGTTTTTGTATTTTGTAGTAATTGAATCGTATAACTAATAAAATTAAAATAGTTAAATAAAAGAACTACCACACCTGACAAAATGATTGGTTTTAAATTAATTAGAAATGTTTACCTAGTTTTCTAAAATTTTCAGAGAGAACCTAATAAAAATAGTGTTAAGAATATTATATTATTTAAATTCAAAATATTACAATTTGATTATTTTTGAAGCATTGTATGCATATAGGATTCGGTAGGTAGTCGTTTTGCATTTTCTTTTATGTATATTGAGAGTGAATGTATTTATTAGAATGAATGTGTAGTGTGACCTCTCACCATGATGGAATATCAAGTAGTGAGTATGCCATCAACTCTCTATCTAGGTACCAATTAGGTAGATCAGTTATATGATTTATGAAAATAGTGATGGAGGAATATAAAGTATTCAAATGAATGCGAGTGTGTCTAGGTTTAAAGCAACAGTCCATGGCAGGACGGATAAAACCAAGGTCTGATTGGTGGCTTAAAGTGTTAAATCTGAAAATCAATTATTACATATTTTTAAAGGTATCCAGTTTTGACGATTGTTATAGTTAATTGACTCATTTATATAATTTTGTCCTACCAGTTATAGTAATAAATAATAAAGGGTTGTGTTATTAAAGAATCATCGCTGATACAGAATTGGCTCCTAGTCTATCAAGAGATTTGATGCAATCAGGTAACTAATAAAATTAAACAGAAAAAAGGTAGAAATGGTGAATGGTGGAGTGAGTGCAGTGTTCAATCCTTTTTAAAAAGATAGAAAAAAGGTATGAAAAACAAATATGCAAAAATAAAATGATCTATTTGGTTAAAAACTTACATTTTTACATACAAAAATATAAATAAAATAAAAGAATTATGTAATAAATGTCTTATGACAGTATCTTTATCATATTCAAACTTCCGGAAGTGGACATCATTTGGAAATGGGATTAGAAGGGTAAATAGAGATTTGGTCTCCAAATATGATGTTGATTAAAGGCCATCAGTGAATGTTACGAAACTGAGTTGTAAACATTTTGTATAAAAACCAATGAATTTTTTAAAATCATTTCCAGCTAATTTCCTACTTTATTTTCAAAACTGTTTATAAATATTGTGAGTATTGTATTATCTCAAATGATTTTCGGTAACTACTGAAAATGTTCTATACACATTGACACTGCAAGAGCAAACTGTTGCTTGTAGAATACAATTAAAAAATAATAAAGTACAATACAATACAATTAAAAAATAATAAAGTACAATACAATACAATTAAAAAATAATAAAGTACAATACAATACAATTAAAAAATAATAAAGTACAATACAATACAATTAAAAAATAATAAATACAATTTCCACAAAACTTTTGCAGGAATAAAGTTTATAGAAAAACCAAAACTGAATGTTTTAAGTCCTATTGTATTAACATATGAGTGGATACAGAGATATAAGTTAAAAATGAACTCAAATTGAACCCCTCATCCCCATGACTCTTGGCATCATTTTTCTAGCTGAGAATTTCTGAAACATCACTGTAATGCAACTTTTCTTTCTGCTGTCCACTTATAGACTTTTTTTATTTAACAAATCTATAAATTGTGAAATCTATTTGGTCCACATCTGTTTATTAGAAATTGTCCATTTAAAGGAGACTCTGTTTGGGGAAGTTCGACTTTAATTACAATTAATAATTGAGTATAATTAATTTTTAAGCATGGCAATTTTTTAACCATACTAGTTAAATTTATATTTATGATGAACTATTTCCATGCAATTATATAAGTAATAAAGTAAAAAAATAACTTTTGTATATAAAAATAGAAACAAAGCTTTTATATGACAACAATTGGAAATTTATTTAAAACATTTATACAATTATTTTAAAACAATCATAAAGTTCCCAGCTCACCTCTGACAAGTCTACTCCGGTAGTACCAAATTTCCTACAATTTTACAAAAAAATTGTTCACATATAGGTACATTGATATAATAGAACACAAAATAAATTCAAATTTACAACCTTAAACGTGAGCTTTGCTCCTCTTTTATTAGCTATATCTTCTACCTCTTTAGCAATATTTTCTTGTATAGTTCCCTCAATGTCGATAAAATAGCAATCAGTTGATGCATAATGGCAGGATATCGCTTTGCGAAAGTTCTGTAATTTAAACCAAAACAATTTAGTTCGATTACCAATTTATTATTTATTTTACCTTGGTAAAATTTGCTCCAGATCCATGAATAAGAATGGGATGAAAAAATACTGTATCTCCTCTTTCCATTTCAAGTGAGGTAAGTGGAATGTTGTCAAATCCTTTAACACCATGGTATGCTTTGTTTACACCACCCTAAATAAAATAAAAAGTAAAACATTGTGAGATTGGGGTGATGAACGTGCAATTTGGCCGTTACCGATCATTTTGGCCTGTCTATCCTACGTAGATACGTTGAGACTTCTCGCCAACTTCTGACAATCACAGAAACGCTGAAACGTGTCTGACAGGCCAAAGCAGCAAGGAAAGGCCACCAGCCAAATTACATAAAAATTGTATGCATAAAATAAATACCTCCCAATTGGGGTAATCATGCTGGTGTAATTCTCCTTTATGAGAACCAGGAATGACAGTGAGACAGCCATTTTGAGTGGTAATTTTCTCCATTGCTGTCCAAGCAGCAACGATCTTGTTAGCCGGACGAAATGGGAAATAGTAGAGATCCTGATGTAGCGGATGCCGGGAAGTAAGTGATCCCGAGTCAGGTGGTTTGTTGATTAACATTGAATGAACCGCCTTTATATTTGGGCCAGTGAAGCAAGAGATGTAGTCTAAAAGCTTTAAAAAAAAAAGCTATAATTATGACACTATATAATTGTATGTAGTATTTTGATCAATTCATGGGTCACTTACATAAGGGTGGAGTATATATTTCTCAAAGACATCATCAAAAAGAATGTCCTGTGCTTTATTGTAAAGGAATTCTCCTTTAGCGCCTAATTTTGCCAGTGAGATGTCCTTCATCAGTGTCATATTAGCCTTTGGAACCCTCCCTTCACAAAGGTCAACAAACCGCTTGCTAAAATAAAATGTAAAGGTAATTATAATTAGTTGATATATGTAAATGTAGATATATTAGTCTGGTGTATGTAATATATGCGCCTTTGCTGAGCTGCTGTATTCCTCGCTTTGTGCCTATAGCACATAGGTGAGTCTTATTTCATCAAGATATTGTATTAGTAGGCCCGGTTTCAGCGGTTGAATTTCTTCTATGCTCACACTGTAGGTCCCTCCTGCGGGCGAGTGTAGCACCGCAGTTTGTTAATAGGTGTGCTGGTGTCTCCTCTGCTCTTTTGCAGAATCTGCACGTGCTGTGTTGGGTTATGCCAATTTTCCCTAAATGTCCATTCACTTTGCACTGTCCTGTTAAGAATCTTGTTAGGATTTGCAGTTTTTTATTTTCTGCTTCCTTTGATACGTTCTATTACTTCTTTCCTTCTGAAATTTGTTAGGAGGTCCTTGGATTGTCTGTGTCCAATGAGTGAGTTCCATTGTTTCTTTGTTTTCTTTTTATCCTTCTGTCTGAGATACTCATTGATAGTGTGTGTTCCTATGCCAAAGAAGGGTTCGGGTTCTATCAGCAGCCCTTTTCCTTGCAATAATTAATTAATACTTATTCTTTAATCAGACACCTGATAAATTACATTCAAAACTGTTTTTCCATTTGTGAAAATTGCTTAAGAAACTTGTAATATTGGTGATCGGTCCTAATTAATGTTTGTTTTTGAAATGAAAAAATAAATAAATAAACTTTATTCTGGGATGTACAGTCCTCTTGAATAATTAAATATGAATAAACCTATTTACAGAGATTTCATACTGATAAGGCGGGGGTTCATTTATAGGGGTGAAGGTGGCTGCAACGGTTTAGGTGTTGACACGGCGCTCACCACTGTAAGGTTAAGGTCCCAGGTTTGAATCCAGCGACCTTGCATTTTTTGGTGCCAAGTAGTAAGGACAAGAGGTAATCAAAGAAAAGGGATTTAAAAGTGGAAAGGGATGGGGCTCGACGTATAGTGTGATGCAATTTCATAAGCAGTTTCCAATTCCATATATTTAGGAAGATAGAAGTCAGAAATTTGATGGAAGTGTAAAGTGGATCTGAAGGTATAGCATATACCTAGCATATAGCAGACTTAATGTAGCAAGTGTTAATAAAATAAATCGTACCAGCAAAGTGAGAGAAGTTCCTCTTCTATTAATTGGGGAATAACGATGTACCCATTTTCTTCATAGAAAACCCTTTGATCATGAGTCAGCAAATTGTTGTCCAACGTGTATTGAAAATTATCAGATGTGTTTCTTGCAATTAGTTTATTCGTAGGATTCTAGAAAAAACAAAAACAAATTTAATAAATCAATAATATAGGCTATTTGAAATATAAAAAAACAAACCAAACGAGGCGCGTTTAAATGCGATTGTATGACCCTCAATCTTTCCGCTGCCATAATGTAAAGCTATAAGAAAATATATTTTTAATGGTAATAAGCAAACATAATAGCATTTGCAATAGAACCTTTTTATCTCAAATTCAGACCAGTCTTCCTCCAAGAAAATCTGAATCGCTTATAGATTTACTAGATAAATGCAAATGCTATAGAAATAAATCATCGGGCACTGATAAACTGTTGTTGTCAGATATTGTTTTGACAGATACTTGTTAATAACACAAACAAGGTCATCAAGTTTCTGCATTGCCCTCTACGTCACGATAATTAACTTGAATTATAACGAACAAAATGTTATTTTAATTGTGAAAATTTACAATTTACACGGGCGATAAACTTTGATCTTGCGTCAAATCAAAATTATACCTGAACGAATAAACCGCATCTTTAATCCTTACGTCAAAAATAACTGATAAACAAGATCGATTTATCTTGCTGTTTTAGAACAAGCAAGTCATTTTACTATCTAAAATAAATATAATTGATTCTGATATAAATCAAGATAGGCAACAAATCACACTTCAAAACAGGAAATAAATGACAGAATTATTGTTCAAACATAATAACACTGGACTTAATATTAAAACTTTATTGTGATAAAAATACATACATTTTACATACGCATTTATTAATAATTTATTTTATTAGTCATTTATTTTATGATTAAAGATAGATCATAAAGGTACCTTATCACTGAGGACACTGGACTGTCTCCTTGCTTATCTGTAGTTCTCTATTCTACAACGCAATGCTTTATTTGTTTACTTTTGTATATCACCAATTCACTCTATTATTGTCAAATTGTTCAATTATTTTACAATGGCATCTAAAACTGAACAGTTAGCTCTTCTTTCCAGTTCGCTGTCTGACATAAACGAATTGTTTTTTAAATGTATCCAAGGATTTACTTCGACTCAGAAAAAACTGGAGCATGTTTTAGCTATGGTACTCTCTACCTTTTATTGCTTCGTTATTGTAAAATACTGTGTAATTTATATGTGTATGTTGTTATGTTAAAACACAATTTTAAGATAATTAAATAAATAGACTCTAATCTCTAGTGTTATACAGCACATACATACTTGTTTAATCTAGATGATTTGACTGCCTACATTATTTACTCACTTGCATACATGATAATATTTCTTCAAGCATAGTAGTTTTTTTTAACAATGACATCCAACGATAATAAATAATAGCGAAGCGTTAGTGTAAAGCATGAAATAAGCATGTAACTTGATCAATCTTATCTGACTATATTATGATTAAGAATAGGCTGTTTTTTAAAAATTATTTTTATTTTATTTTATTTTAAGTAACCAATACAATTGTATGCACAATGACCCCAGGACAATACCTTTATTCACCACACAATTTATTGGCAACTTTGTTGTCATTGGTAGTCATATATGTACACTGCTGGGGAAAAATTAAAAAAAACCCTACGACTAATATTTATTGTGATAAGTGTCTACTCCATGTATAATATTATGTATGAGTCCCTAGTGTATTTAATTAATTAAATAAATAATAAATATAAGTACATATAAAATAAATATAAATTCACTAATTTCGTGGTCCGCTTGACCTATTAATATATTACAATTAATTAAGGTTTTTAGTTGAGATAAATATAAATATGTACATAATACATATTTTTATAACAAAACTTAGAATAAATAGGTAGTAATAAATACATACATAAATACATGAATAAATAAATTATATACAAACAAATAAAATAAATAAATAAAAATAAATAAGTTAATTAAATAACTAAGTTAGTCGTTAATAAATTAAAGGCTCGCCTTGAGGTCCCGTAGGGTTTTGTGTTTGGCTCTGGGTGCACATTTTTGTCTGATATCTTGAATTAATCTTATGGCGTTACCAGGACATCTATCAAAAAATCTTTGACAATTTGTTTCTATGAACTCGCGCAGGAATTGCACTCCGGAGTTTGTGTGGAGTTCATCTATCTTGGTTGCTAATGGGCTGTTAGTGCATAACCTTAGGAACTTATTTTGGGTTTTTTGCAGCTTTTTATAATTAGTGATACAGGTTAAGCCCCAAGCAGGGCATTCATATGTCAGCACTGGCCTTACTATGGTTTTGTAGATGAGTAACTTGTTTTGAACGCTCGACAACTCGAGTGGAAAAAGTATTTTTATATGTGTTTTTCCTTTTTGTATTAGTTCATTGATATGGGCTGTAAACGTTAATTTAGCATCTAGCCGAATGCCGAGGGAGTCCAGTTAATTTCTTCACCATTAAGGTGAACTTTAAGGTCTACAGTTGGACGTCTTTTCATGAAGAGTATGGCTTCAGACTTACTCCTGTTCACACTTATTTTCTACCTTGTAAAGTACCCGATAGTCCTCTCCGCTGCCCTGCTCAATCGGTTCACTATGCCACTCACCCTCCATGATGATGTGTAGAGGGCTGTGTCAACAACGAACAGGGCCAGGGGTTTTGGGCATATCATTAATATAAATTAGGAACAGAGTAGGTCCTAGAACAGAGCCTTGTGGTAGGCTATGGTAGATTGACACATGGACACTTTCTTTTGTGCCAAAGTCTGACTCCTGATGAAGAGAAAGGTCGCTTGATGGGTCCACTTAATCGAATGGTGTTGTTCCTTAACTCCATATAGAGAACACTTAGGAATCCAACCCAATATGTATTTTCTCTCTGATTTTTAGAGGAAACAGAGCAGTTTTGTTGTATGAAACAAAGTAATTCTTGTCATATAGGAGGGCTTAACGTCCAACTATACGTTCAGTGTCATGGACGAGGGTCAAACTACTTTACGATACATTTTTCATACCATTATCAATCAAAAAAGATGTGGGCTCTGCTAGGATTTGCAAAAAAACTCAGAACGTTAGCATTCCAAATATGTCAGACACTTGTCCTCTGCAGTCTCCTGTTTTACTGTATATAATACTTTATAGATATCTCGTCTTCTGTGTTTGTGTCTGTTGAGACTGAAAATATTTATTAGCATGGATATGTGCTGTGAGAGGGTTGATGGAATATTAAGCCATCAACCCTCAATTAGATTATTTATGTAAAATGTGTAGAGGGTGATGGAGGAATATCAACTATTTCACCACTCTATCTAAATGAATGTAATTAAGAGTGAGTGAGAGTGTGAGCAGGTTTGGACCTAGAAACTGATTGCATGGGGGGCTGAAATGACCTAGCTGTTGGCCCAATTTCAGTGGCTGGATAGATAAAAACGTCAGATAATTTTTAATTTTTTTATTTTTTATTACTTACTTTTAAGAACTTCCAAGGGATGTGCAAATGCAGTGCCACCATCTCCACAACCCTCAAATGTGTAGGGCTTCAACTGTATCCCTGTAAGGCCCCCTGATGCACTTCCGTCATCTGACCGGCTGTCACACATCCCGCCGATCTCAAAATCCCACAAACGTATACCATTGTGATACCACAGATGTCAAAATGTTGAATTGCATCTGAATATTTCATTGTTCAGACATCAGGATGAGAAAAAAAGTGTACAGCACTAGAGAATAGAGGCATATGTAATAATTGTAAAAGGATAGTTTTGAAATGCAACTTGATAGGAAAAGCCAGTGAGGATAGATCAGGATGATTGAAAATAACGATTACAAAATACTCATTATGTATTAAGTTCTTTTTCATTTACATCACTACTCACGTCATGCTAACAATTTAAAACATTAGCTTTTTTCATGTTCTCGGCTAGGAATTTCATTTAAACAAGCCAATTTCTTCAATTTTTACATAGGCTAAATCAGTGGTTGGCAAGCCTTCCTCTAAAGGGAGCTCCGTAAGGTCAATCATATTAAAAGAAAAACAAAAGATGGAGGAGCCTCTGGATCCCTCCTTTTTTGGCGGTGGTGGCCGGGCGGCTGGCTGTACGCGCTCCCCAGAACTGACACACACACCACTGTACACATATGGAAACATAGCTACATAAAGGCAATGATAGCCCTTGCTGGTTTTTGCCTTAAAAAAAAAAAAAAAAAAAAAAAAAAAAAAAAAAAAAAAAAAAAAAAAAAAAAAAAAAAAAAAAAAAAAAAAATTTACATTGGCTAAATCAGTGGTTGGCAAACCACGGCTCTTTGACTTCTTGGCTGAGGATCTTTCACTAAATATTTAGTGCAGACACGGAGCACAAAGTATTACATGTGCAAGAAATGGGATTGTCGCTATTTTTAAAGAAAAAATTAATCATGAAGATTACTTACCATTGTATTATTCATCTGGAAGCACTATGTGCTCAGACATTTCCTGAAGAAATTTGCTCAGTAGGTTCAAAGACTTTAGGAACAACAAAGCGATGCTAGCCTTTGTTAAAAAAAAACCTCTGAATGCCACGGTAACATAAATTAATTTTTTGCCCTTTAATATTGATATTGGCAGCTTTGTAATGCAGTTGCTGAATTTAAAAAATAAAGAATTTTGGAGTTCAAAATTCGAGAGTCTTTAAACCGATTTACAGCTATTGGTGAAATATAAATGTGAATTAAGTTTACAGCACAAATGGTCTGCTTTGAAAGATCTGGCGAGGGAAGATATGTTGATTTTTAACACCTTGATGATGATGATCAACTGAAGAAACTAGTGTTTGCTGTTCTTTCCTTATTTGGGTTTACAGATTTAAGCGAACAATCATTTTCAAGCATGAACTTTATCAAGAGTAGATTAAGAAATCAGCTTATCGAAGAGAACTTGGAATCGTGCCTAAAATTAAAAACAACATACAAACCTGACTTACCCCTACTTTCCAGGGAAATGCAAGGGCATTGTTCACATTAGTGGAATATTTGTAGTTTTTTTAAGGATACCTTTTATATTATTTAACTTGTTATATTTTTAAATAAATATTATCTTTATATAAGAATGATACCAAGTTTTATTTAATGTACCGTTAATTAAAGTAAGACATATTCAGCAAAGGCAAGCTCGAGGGTGTACTTTTAATTGTAATTATTTCCATAAAAATGTCTACTAAAGCAAAGCATAAGTTTAATAAATGGCTCTGAATAAACTTCAATTTTGTATTTTTATTTATATTTGGCTCTTTTGGATGACGAGTTTGCCGACCACTGGGCTAAATGAATGAAAAAACAAAGGCTTAGCTCGTCTTTATTCTTTTAATAGTACAGCTGTAATAATGATAATTGCATACTTCAAATTTGCATTATCTTCTATAGTATTTGGCATCTACTTTCTTACACTGTTTATGATGTTTCATAATTAGTTGCCATAACATATTGGGAATTAGCTCTGATACATTTTACAAAATTATGTGTAGATGGTGAACTTTGTACACTACAGCGTAATTTATAAGGATTTTGGGATATTTATTCCATGAAAAGCGTTGGAATATGAGCTGATGTAAGAATATATAAAATTTATATTTAATATAAATATTAATTTATTAAAACAATTAAGAACTATGAAATTGTCATTTGTTTTTCAAATTTGATTATTTAATTAGGCAAACTTCTTGCTTAATACCAAATAAAGAGTATCTTCTCTATTCCTCCAAAATAGAAAAGCATTGAGAAAATACAGAAGCTTTTGTTATTAAATATTGTTTGCTTAATATTTAATTATATTTCAGATTGATGAGTCTGAGTCGACTCCGCTTACACCTGTGGAATTAGTAAGCATAAAAGAAGTTATGGATTTGTACATCACTCGATTTTCGCCATGTGAGAACTTGGTCGAACAATTCGATGAAAAATTAGATCTTCTCTTAGAACTCTTGCCTCCATCTCTGGTCTGGCTTAGCACAAATGAACCAGTTCAGATGAAATACATGGATGGAAAATCTCCGTGGGAATTTCAACTTCAGCACTATCCTAATAGAACTAACGAAATTCAGAAGATGCTATTGTACGTTTAGGAGGTAATTTGTATTTATTGAACAAATAAATAATATTTAATTTTTTTTGCCAGACACATTTTTGAAATGTCGCAAATGAAACCTGTTCAATCGCCAAAAGTTGGAGACACCGTGTGTGTTCAAGAAAACGGTACATTCTTCAGAGCTGCCATTCTGCAATTAGGATCCAATGATAAGTGAGTTAATTTTGTGAATTTCTTTATCTGTGTTTCATATATTTATTGAATAATTTTTTTGTCAGAGTAAGCCTGATAAATGTAGACAAAGGATATAAAAGAATTGCAAAAATGAATCAACTCTATGAGTTACCAACAGCAGTTTTAGAAATTCCAGCACAAAATGTTCTATGCAGCTTGCTACCTGAGGTTAGTTTAAAAAAAAAGTATTTTTAAATTTTTTATAATATATTATACAACAATGATAACCTTGTTTGACTAAAGCTGAGCTGTTGTATATTTGATAGTTGACAAATTTTATAATTTCACTCTTATGTTTTTATAAAAAGTAAGATTATTCTTTTTTATTTTTTAATAAAATATTTATTACCATCTATATAAAATAATACATTTTGTAATTTTTTGGATTTTATCATACACTACACTATGCCTCTCATGTTCTCCCAACTTACATAAGAGCTAGTTCTTGGCTAGGAGGTCCTTGGGCCATCTCAGCTGTAGTCATGGGATTATAAAAATGGATTTTGTTGGATATGGATTGGGGTGAGTGGTCAGTTTGTCATGGAACGTAGAAAATTTGGTGGGGATTAATTTATTTACAAAGGGTATTTTGACAGAATCAGACAGAAGCAATCTCACAAAAGTCAACTAGAACTATCTTGTCCAAAAATTGAAGGGTATTTTGAGGTCGTCGTGGAAGGTGGTATTGGAGGTTGTCTATGATTCTGAGGACTTCGGATTGGAAGGATTGAATCTTTTGGATTCTGGTAGGTTTAGCTGTGCCCCATAGTTCTAGTTCATATTTCCAAATCTGTTTCAATAGTGTTTTGTAGAGTGTTAGTTTGTTTCTTGTCGACATGTTAGATTTGCGTCCAAATATTTTATAAAGTAGTAGGAAGCATCTGCTGAGTTTCTATCTTTTTATTTGTATGTGTAAATTTGGGTAGAGGGTGTGGTTAGGATTGTTAGGATGGTGTAGAGTAGGTAAGGATTGGTCTGAGCACAGTAGTTGGAGTAGTTTTAACAAACTCAGAAGAATCTCCTGTGAGAGTGAAGATTAGTAGTAATGACTAATACACTACATTTTATCAAAAGAAAATGAACCGACAAACACAATAGACAAGAAAAAAAAATTAGAATGACCTGTTTATTCCAAAATAAATTGGATGCCTACAGACAAAGACAAAGCTGACAATCCATTGACATTTTACAAACATAACTGCATACAACCCCCTTAAAAATTAATAATAATAATAATAATAATAACATAAAAATTGCACACAAACAAGCTACAAGATGTCAAAATGAGACTGACAGTAAAACAATGAAAATGGGCAGATCAGGAAAATCGGAGACAGTTAAATTAATAAGTTCAGCACATTGTAGACTTCACTACAATGTTTCACAATAAATATTTTAGTCTGCCTGTCCTCACTGGTTGGCCAGATGCGTTTAATCATTTTGCTATCTTCAGTGCTGGGGTTGAGGAAGGCAGACCAAAATGATATGAAACAACCAAAACTATAGTTCATCTCACAGACCCGATAAAGAAATCACAATAAATATTTCTCTTGTTTGGTTGATGGCTGTACTGTTGTGTGAAGAAAATGATTAGTAAAAACGAATGTATTCATATGATCATTAAACTGTAGTTGCTTTGTAGGATCCAGAAGGCATATCGCTTTGGGACGAGAGTCTTCAACAACATTTCCAAGCCATTATTTCTGAGTGCGTTCTAAAAGTGGAAAAATTTGAGGAATTCTCAGAATATTTTCCTCCTAGGTTCAGGATTCAAGCCATCGGCTACAATGAGACATTAACATATACGGCTAATTTCAATATATGGCTAATTGATCGACTCCTGCCTGAAATAAAGAAAAAGCACAGGCTAGGCGAAGAAACATCAGTGGCCTACTTGGATGAGTTGAATCCATTTGAGGAATTGTCTTGTGAAAGTAATTCCCCTAGCAAAAAGGCTTTAGACCTTGATTTTAAAAACGAAGTACTTAATAGTAGACAACACAATAATATAACATTGGATGCTCAAGAAATTGTTCCTTATTCTGAAAAACAAATTACACCCATTGATATTTCAAATCAAAGAGTAGAAAACAATTTAAATCCAGCAGTTTCAACTTTATTTAAAGGTATTTGGTTATGCAGAAAAGAACGTAATTAAAAATAAAAATATTTTATTCTGAAACCTTTACAGAAACTCCTCATGCTCATGCAGCAATTGTACTTCCTGAGATGAATGAGGCGGAAGAAGCTCTTACTATAACCAATTTAGCTGATGAATACCAACCAGAAGATGAGACCAGGCTTTGTCAAATTTATCAAAAGAAGAAAAGTTGCTTTAAAATAAATTGTCGTAAAGTTCACAAACTCAGTTCAGGTATTATGAACCAACAGAGAGAAAAAAAAAAACATTCAATACTCATTAAGGAAATGGTTTCAGGAAAGTGGACTGATGATAGAACTGAAACCTACTGCGATTTGTTTAATAAGATAAATCTTCCAGATGTGTTTCAAGAAATACCAGTTAAAATACTGAGTGTTGTCTCCGGCCATTTATTTTATGTCGCTCTTCATTCAAAATATTCAGGTAATAGCATTCACAGACCAAATTGAAAGCAAATGTGTTTCAATAGTGCGCAAATAATGTTGTATAGTTTTAAAAATGTTTTTTTAGATATTGGTGAACAGACTTCTAAAGTTGAAACCCTTTTTGATTTGGAAAACGACATGAACAATCCTGAAAATGTAAAGAGCTATCAATATTTTCGAACAGATCCCAGCCTTGGTGAGCTTGTTATTGCAAAGGACAGTAAAGGCTGTTTTAGACGAGGAAGAGTTGTGGATTTTTATGAATTTATGGCAAATGTGTGTTTAATAAATTCACTTATAAATCTTCTTTTTTTTATATTTTAATTTAAACATTTACAGGTATTTTTTGTTGACTTTGGGTTTCACGAGGACATAGCTATCTCAGATTTGTACTTAATGTTACCACAATACTTGCATTTACCTGCTCAGGTAATAATTGTTCATAAAAAAGGAAAAAGTATTATTCCATAATTCATAACTTTTCAGGCTGTTTTCACCAGTTTGTCAGGTGTAACCACTGTTGATGCACAAGAAGGTAGAGCATTTTTAGAAAATCTTATTCAGGGTAAAATTTTGTCAGCAAGAATTGTATCTAGGTAAATATCATACAAAAGCAAAATTAACCAAAATTGATGGAATTATTTTGTCTTTTAGGAATCTTACAGAGAGTGAATTGGAAGTAAAGCTTTACACAAGTGATAGATTATGTATTAATAAAATGGTGATAGATAGTGGCTATTGTAAAGAGTTTTAGATAGAAAAAAGATGTACTTCTGTGATTTGTTTGTTACATTTTAGAATTTCGACTGTATTTTATATTTTCTATATTTACAATTTGTATATTAAATTGTATTGTTTATCTTTTAATTTCCTTATCCATTTCCATCCATTGGGCCAAACTGGAAAATGTTTGAATTGTTGGAATTTCATGGCATAAAATCACACCAAATGACCATTGAAGAACCATTTAAGGATCAAAATTCTTCCAAATTTTTGCATTGCAATACTCAAATTGTCAAGCTACTGTGATAAATATGTTGAAATCGCTTCCACTCATGATTATGAGTTTTAATATTTGTTTAAATGTTATTTGCTAATGGACTATAATTTATATAATTTAATGCTGAAGAATATTTTATATATGGTGTAAAACAGGGTTGTATGTCTCCAATACTTTTAATAAAAAGCTAAATATTTCCAGGAATATAAAGCTTATAAATAAAGAGTTCATGGGGTCTGTGAGGAGCCCCTTTCAACAACAGTACCATCCATTACAAGGCACTTAGCGAATTCGTCCTTTTATAGACTGACCCGACAGGTCACATACTCTGAGTGCTGCTGACTGGAAGCTCGCTGAGTGGGCTAAGTGCATGACGGTGTGGTGACCACTAAGGTTTCTTGGACGGCGTCCCTTCAAGCAAAATATAATGGTGCAAAATGGGATTTATCTATGGGAAAAGTGCCAAAATTTCCAGTGAGCTGGATGTGGCTGACTGGGTCTTGCTTAGTGGCAACTTCAATGGGATAGGTCCTCAAAAGGAAGACATATGCACAGCATCTTTCCAAATATAACAGAGAGTAAAGTAGAAGATCTTGGAAGATCTATTTTATGTCATGATGTCGACAGGCCATGATAACTTCACCGATATGCTGAAATTTAGACAAAGGACTTGCCAGTATGTGAGTGTGGCAACCATAAAACCACGGAATGTGTATTCTTACAAGTCGGCAAGTATTGTGACCTATATGTAATGTGGCTGCAATAGACCAAAACAAGCAAAGCAATTTCTGTCATGGTTTAACACACCTGAAAGCAGAAGTCCTGGTTTGGCAAGGAACCCTGTAACATCGTTGTCGTCAGCACTACCAGTTCGCAGCACAGGCTTGCCAAAGGCTTGTTCTGAAAGTGCCAGAGACTGCTCAAAGACCCTGATAGTAGAGGCTATCAAGCCTTTTGTGCTGAATAATAGGCAACCACAAAACAAGGTTGAGCACAGCAGAGAGAAATTTTTTTTCAGGTGGGTCTCCTGTCCTCTACCCACCTGAAAGTGACCAATGAAGTTTAAAATTTTATTACTTTTCTTCCCTTCACCTCAATGATGTCAATGTATGACTGCCATCTAAGCTTTTGATCAAGCGTGAGGCTGAGGAACCTTACTGACTTGTTGCAAGCAGAGATGCGAAATGCTGTAGCCCCCCTCCTCAGCCCTGCAAAAGTAGACGCATACAGTTTTTAATGCAGAGAATTTATATTCCTATTTTCTCAGCTTTTCCAGCCACAATGTTTATCACTAACTGCATCACCCCTCTGACCTGAAGGAAAAAGAGGTCGCCGACGTACAGTAATCGTCTGATTGGTCTGGGGACACTGTCAGCTATACCGTTTACTGTGATTGAGAAAATTGTAAAACTTATTAAATTAATTAAGGTTTTTAGTTGAGATAAAAAAGTCAATGGCATGAGCGGGATTCGAACCCACAATCTTCGGCTTGATATGCCGCTGCTCTACCACTTGAGGTATCGAGACCTCGATCCACTCGGACACCAACTTCCCATCTCAACCGCACCTTTTGAATTTTCCCTCCTTTTTGCCATTTTTGCCCCAGGAGGGAAAATTCAAAAGGTGTGGTTGAGATGGGAAGTTGGTGTCTGAGTGGATCGAGGTCACGTTAGCTCAAGTGGTAGAGCAGCGGCGTATCAAACCGAAGATTGTGGGTTCGAATCCCGCTCGTACCATTGACTTTTTTATCTCAACTAAAAACCTTAATTAATTGTAATATATTAATTGGTCAAGCGGACCATGAAATTAGTGAATGTAATACTTATTATTCAACCCTGTGGGACTCCATTCTCTTGAACAAAGTCTCTGGAGAGCACAGACCCCAATCTCACATGGAATTTCCGGTTCCTCAAGGAACTGGGTTAATTTGCCTCAAAATCAGATATCTCAACATTTCCAAAGTATTACATAACTCTACATCCTATCATATGCTGGTCAAAGAACACAGTCAGAGCGTGCTCTCTATTCAGAAACATATTCTGAATATCACTCTCGAGAAGACAAGCATGATCGACTGCAAAATAATGCCTAAAGAATCCCGCTTATTACTGGCTGGGAAATCGTTTCATCTCATGACAACAGCTCCATTTATCAGTGACTCCAGGAGTTTACTCAGGTGGAGAAAGAAACTAATAAAAAAATCAATTTTTCTTAATAGTAAAATTCAAACCTACCAGACCAGAATGATAGGAAATTACTCAACTAGAAATTGATTGATTGGATCAATAAGAATAAGTGTTGGCTCTCAAATATCCCGTAAATATGATTATATATTTTCAGATTTAAAAATTCTGCAAAATTGTATATTTGGCTGAACCTGCTGTCCTAATCAACACTGAATTGTAAAATACTTGAAGGTGGTATATTTTACTTGATGTAATTATCGATGTAATTGCACTGCAATGTAAAAAGAAATTTATATTGAACTAAACTCGTGGAAATTTATATTCAAAGGCTAATTGAACAGAAAGAAAAATGGTGGCTTGTTTAACTTAAAATAACAGCCCTGTTCCTATTATAAATAAATAATTACCTACAATTAAAGACAATTGATACCTTTCCTGTCTATGGAAAGAGTGATGTAATTTCAATAGCCCAGGTAGTGATTTTGTTGAAGCAAGGCTGAATTTAAAATAAATCATAAACATTGCTCAGTTGTGGCAACATTCTTATAACTGTTGTCGGTTATTCTTTAACTCAAAATGACCTACTGGAAAGAACTACGTTGGCTTAATGCTTTCGGGTGGTGGCCATTATATGAAAAAAATCCCAAAATAAGAAAGCTTTACAGGTATGTATTGGTAATTATTTTTTGGAATAAGTTAGAGATTATTTAGGAGTCTATTTGAAATGTAAAAGTCTACAACCGGAAAAGAAGAGTAAAGAATATATTTGAAATGTGTTATAATTGGTGACACAGTAAATTGATCAGTGTCCATTAGTTAAGCATGTTTTGGGAGCTGATCTTAAAAGGGCCTTGTGAAATATTATGTTATTATGTTGTGGTTTGCAAACTGGTAGCCTGGTTCTTCCTGATCATCCATCATCATTCTTGCTGTTTTTTACCCTTATTTTTCTAAATAACCTTAAAGCATAAAATCTTTTGAGGTTTCTTAGTGCAGTTTATTAAAATATTAAGACAATTTAGATGTTTTGGATTTGAATATAATTTTGAAATTTTTGTTGCTGGTGTTTTCCAGATATTATGGCTATGCACTCTTCATATCTGATTTTATCCAAGTTGGGCCAGAATACATTGCCCTTTTTGTCCGAATGAGGGAAGGCAGTTTTAGGAAGACAATTTTAAACCTTAATACAACACTAGCCGGGACAACTTGTGCCATAAAACTGTTGCATTTATTCCACCAAGAAAATCGGATTGCAAATATCATAGATGAAATTGACGGTATCATATACAATTAATTGAATAATATTATTAAGAATGTGTTAATGTGTTATTAACATCTATTTTCAGAATTGGAGGACCGTGGCAGTTCAGAAATCGGAGACAAGATTGAACACATCAAAAAACCGATTGAGAGGAGAAAATCTATAACATGGAACATAGTGCAGACATTTGTCGTATTCTCATTACACTGGTTGGTGACACCGATCTTAATGGGTTTGCAAGGGGTCAAGCGCCCTATCATAGATTCTTGGACTCCATGGACACAGGAAACTTGGTCGGGCTGGGCTTTGACTCTGGGATTTCAGTCAGTTCATGTTTTCACAGCAATAGTCGGTTTGTTTATGACAAACTGTCTTTACATTTCAATCTTAGAAAGCATTTTACTCAACTTCAACATTCTCCATCAAATGTTGTTAGATTTGGACTTTGAAAAAAATACATCAAAATTTGGAGATTATATTACATATCATCAAAATCTTTTGAGGTGAGCAATTATAATATTTATTTTAAACATTTCAAGTTATTGTATTAAACCTTTTTTCCTGCTTACTGGTGTGGAATTAATAAATTTATTTTTATTGTATTGCATTGCTCAGTCTACTCCACTAAGCTATAAATATAATATAAAAATATTACTAAACTATCATTTTATGTGAATGTTTATTAATTCTTACATGAGAGAGTAGAGCAATAGTTAACTTATTAGACAGCTTAATATTGAATCAATTTTTAAATTGGGTGGTTTGTAAATGACTGAAATCTTGTTTACAGTTTTCACTAGATTTTTTTGTGAAAATTTAAATTTAAATTCGTAAACAATACTTAATGATAGTGAATAATTAATGACATCATTGTATATCAATTTATGACTTCAAGGAAAAATTTTCTTGCAAGGCTGATTTCACCATGCCAACAGGAAACAGTCTACTAAAGTTATACCAATAGCAGATTTAAAGAGAATGATATTAATATTAACTACTTTATTGATTTCTCAAATAGCAATTATAATTGTTAAATGAGTTAATGAAATTATTAATCTATAGTTTCTTGTGTTTTATGAATTATTTTAGACAGTTCTGCGTTGAATTAATAATATAACATTGCTAAATAAATGATTGACCTATTTTACGAAAAAGAAAATAAGATGGTCCAAAACTCAAATAAAGTCATATTATAGAGATTTTTGTGAAAATCTTAAAATCTTTTTCTTATAAAAAATGTTTGATGAAAAAATCCTACTAATTGTTAATTCTTTCTGTATTAGTTTGCACATATTGGCAAATATTTTGCAACCTTAGAAAATAATGAAGAAACTAAAGGAATTAATTAAGCGGAACACAAAATTCCCAGAAGAAGGTTCATTTTGAATAAGATATTTACATCAATCACAGTAAATTTAATGAAACATCACTTTGGACTAAACAAAACATCCAATTTGCTTTAAAATTATTGTAAACACACCCAGACGACAAATCGTTATCGTTTTTATTAGTTTTATTCCAGAGTTTCTATTCAAAAGGGGAAAAGAAGAATAGAAAAGTCTTGAGATATTCCGGACACTTGAACACCGGAAATGTCAAATTATAGTTTATGCACTAACAATTTTACATCCTGCTTTTATATATCAAGTTGATGGCTATATTTCCATATGCACGATTATCTTTGTGGCAGACTGTAATCAAAACCTGTCTGTCATTTGATATGTTATACGAACGAAATTACACACAAAATTGGAGAAATAACAACTGAAAGAATTTTTAAAATCAAAATTCATAAAATGACAAAGGTTTTAAAAACCTGGGCAATATGTCATAATTTAAAATGTTTACAAACTCCTCAAAATATTTTAAATTATTTTAATATAAATTTTCTTATAACGACTCTTCGTTCGCGCCTGACATAATTGCACAACAGTTTTGCAGAACCTGACTGTGTTGCAGGTTTAGTATGTTCGAGCGCCGTTTTTATAAACGGTTAACAAATTCGTCCATCATAAATAAAATGTTTATGTCCAAACTGAACATATTTGAGCCGTCTATTCTCGCTCTTTTTTTTTGTCAATTTAGTTTTCAAACTAGTGAAGGTGTATAATAAATCCTTTACAATCAATCACAAACATTAAAATCACATTTTTATAGAATAATCCTCAGAATTGTAACTCCTTAACTTACACCTCGTTATAATCTATTTTACAGTCCATTTATAATAAATAAATTTGTAAATAATTTTTTCCTCGGTAATCCGAAGCAATTTCGAATATTTTCTCTGGGCATTTAATCTTGACGAAAAACGCCATCTCTGATGAAGGGCTTCAACCAAACGGATCGCCAATAGATAACGCCTCAAGTACTCTTCAATACCAGACTTCCATATCGGATGAACAAAAATTCCTACCTAAACAATATAAGTTTTATAAACAGCTATTAACAATCAATTTTTAAAAATGTGTTCAAATTAAGAGAAGGAGTGAACTTATTGGGATCAAGTTTTTACCTGATTACCCTGGTTAATTATGGAAAAATAAGGTTGAAAAGAAATACTTAAATTAAAAAAAAGGCTATCCATGATCATAATCACTAAAATAAATGGTACAATATTTTAATCGATCGTTAGATAGGATCAACCAGGGTGATTGGGTAAAAACTCGATCCCAATAATTACACCCCTTCTCTTAATTTTAACGCATTTATAAAAATTGATTCTTAACCGCTATTTATAAAAATGATATTGTTCAGGTAGCAATTTTCGCTCATCCGATATGGAAGACTGGTAGTGAAGTGTACTTAATGAGTAATCTATCGACGATCCGTTTGGTTGGAGCTCTTCATCAGAGATGAGAATGTAGTCAAGATGAAATTCCTAGAGAAAATATTTCAAATTGCTTCGGACCACGAAACAAATATTATAAATGGACCATAAAATAGATTATAACGACGTGTAAATTTAGGAGGTACTTGAGGATCGTTCTTTCAAAATGTGATTTTAATGTTTGTGATTAATTGTAAAGGATTTATTATACACCTTCATTGGTTTGAAAACTAAATTAAAAAAAAAAGAGCGAGACTACACGGACCAGAGATGTTTAGTTTGTACAAAATCATTTTATAATTATGGGCGAATAATTCCGCGTAAAAAACGGCGCTCGGACCTACTAAACCAGCAACACAGTCAGGTTCGGCAAAACTGTTGCACAACTATTTCAGGCGCGAACGAACGGTCGTTATCAGAAAATTTGTATTTCAAACATTTTATACTTCATTCAACATTACATAATATACGATTAAAGTAAATTTTCGGCATGGGAGTCCACCCGGCAGAGGTCGATTTATATTGAACTTCAATTTTATGTCAACACAGAAAAAAATAAAATTAATCATTAACTAAATATTACTATTATTAGTTTCATTTTTAATAATTACATTACTTATTGTCAGCGGGCTTTTCTCCAATTTCCCTGCTAATTGTACTGCTAGCAAAGAAAATAAAATAAAAAAGCCAATGTATTAGTCATAGACATTTAGTTGAAGGTTATAAAGCGCAGCTGCCTTTCGCACTTTAATTTGAAGTGCAAGTAAGTCAGAGTGCATATTGTGATGTAAAAAACATTACTTACTAATAAACCATAATTATAAACCTTAATTTTTTTCTTTGTTTAAATTACAATAAATATAGATTATTAATTATTGGGGTCAGCAATTTAGAATGAAAAAGCTGTGAACAATTAAAAACTAAATTATAATATTACCTCTTGGCGATCACGCCAAACATGGCGCGCATTACATTTTTGAAATCATTTAGCAACAAGTAAATAAAGTGTGTCGTATATAATTTAACAAAATTTAGATGTAGAAGCCGAATCTCAGAGAACATAATGCATTTTGCAATAAAATACACTATGTCTTCTTTAACACGGTCATTATATAATGTTATTATATTATATCTTCTTATTATATATATTTATATTATATTTTCTTTAGCCGGAAAAAGCGCACAATTGAGATAAAGCAGATCTCCTCTGATTTTGAATAACCATCTTAGCTCGACCAATGACAAACCTTTCGTTCTATCCTTAGCTAGGTTAAACATATTAAAATCATGTTGGTAAAGATCCTAATAGAATAAAAAACGTGAGGTTGATCTGTCCTCTTCACGAATTTGGCAATGTCGAGCAAGACAGCCGGGTAATACTGTTTTTTTCTCAAAGGAGGATGCGATAACGTCTATAACACGGTGCCATTGTTGAACTTTAGTGTTCTGATAATAACTTCCTAATTAAAACGTTGGAGTTTTTCAAGCTGTTCAAATTTTACTAGCCCCCGACTTGTGAGATGTAACAAAGTATTGAACAGACGTGAGGATAGCGTTATACCGAGATATTTACATTTTTTTTACCAATTCAATCTTTGTGTTATAGAAAAACCATCGATTCTTAGCAGAGAGCCTTCTAACTGTCCTAAAGATCATGATTTTCGATTGACTAGATTAACCAATAAATTTCATTGAAGACAGTAGGACTCCAAAAGTTTTATATTCCTTCGGAGACTGACAGCATTGTCGGCGATGAGAAGAATATCCTTGGCGTACATTGGAATTTTAATGAACGTATTACCGAGTCTGACCCCTGATTCCAAAGCAGCTGGTTTAGGGCCCGTTGCAACAACTTGGTTTAAACTCTATTCAGTACTGAACCGAGTTCAACTCAAAAATTCTCGTTTTTCGATTTGTCTTGAACCGCGTTCAAACGATGATCCTGGTTCTAATCTGAACGGACGTCGAGCGTGGGTTAAAGAAGATTAGAGCTGAACGACGTCCATTTCATAATAATATAGTTCGTATGTTGTTTCACGATTCAACTTTTGATGTTTTTGTTTAAATATACATGACTTTTGTGACAAAGACGCTACATAGGATTGACTGGTAATCCGAGGCAAAAGGCAAAGGTTTTGATTTTGCAGTAATAAATCAGGCAACTCAAAAGTTAAATAATGACTGCGATAAAATTCTAATAGTTTTAGCATCAACTTCGAATTTAATTGAGGCTTTTTTAAAATTATTTTACAAGTAACAACTAGTTGAAACTGAAGAACAAAACTTAAATCATAAGAACATGCCTTAACAGAAAGCTGTCGTTAGTAAAGTAAATTTCATTTGGATAATAAATGAATACAAGAGTATAATGAATGAATTTTTTCAAATAAATGTACATGAACAAGTGACCACAAAGGTTTCTTTGAATTTGTAGGTACTTATGTTGGTAGATGTACAAAGGAAGGGGTTTTACAAACAAGACAATTTTCACGAATGGGACAATGATGGATCCTTTAATAAATTCAGAATGTCAGCAAAGATTTTCTCCGACATATTCGAGGAAAACAAATTAAGGAAAAAATAAAAACACAAAAATACTAAATAAAAGTCTAAGAAAATTGGCACAACAACCAATGTGCTATAAACGTTCAATGAGATTACAGTCATTTCTACCAA